ACCGATGTCAGTGGCGTTCTTGTTGTCAGTTTCTATCCAGATTGCCTGAGTGAATGTCTGGAGGTGTAGGCACCTCGGAATGATTGTGTTAAGCTAGCACTAAGTCCCTCCCCCATCCACCTTTTTTCTTTTCTTTACAATAAGGCTTTCAAATAAGTCATGGTTGTACGGCAGTGAAGCATTGGTGTTGAACACTGGTGTTATGCTATCGACGATGATGATGATGATGATGATGATTTGACTGGCCCAATTCCTCCAAGGCATATGCAGGAAATTCCCGGGGGGGGGGGAATGTTTTTTTTGAAGCGTCACCACGGTGACGTTCTTTGTTAGGCCCGATTGAGTGTAATCCCCATCTATAAGAAGTCGGAAAGCTGCTCTTCTTGTGTTGTCCTCTGCTCGGGAGGAATACTATATTGACTCAAATGAATCCAATGAAACGTTTGAATTTGCAAGAAAGTAGCATCAGTTACATTCTCCATGGCTCCCTCCCTATCGGTGCCTTTACCGAATCTCCACAGAAGATGACTTTATTTTTTTTTTTAAAAAAAAAGAGAAACGAGAAGGCTAAATGTACATTGACAAACAGCCTTTTGGCGAAGTACAGAACGAACATATATATATGCCATGAAGGGCTTCCTTAGAATGTGTCCAAACCATTCGAGTTTACGCTTTTAGATTTTTCTGCTCGGTTTCTCTATGTTACTTCATTGAGCTCAACATAGCTCGGCGGTTAAGGCGCGAAATTATTGATCGGAAGGTTCTTGGTTCGAACCCAACTCCGGGATTTCGATCGCTCCTATCTAGGCTTGACCATCCTGGCTGTATGTCAGCTCTCATGCCTCCTTCGAGTGCCACTGTGCACCGAGGGCGTGCTACCACTGAACTACATATCACTGCACTGAAGAATCCGTCGTCCCCGGGGACAGCTAACCTAATCCACGGTTACCATCGTTCGGAAGTTGCAAACGGCAGTGTCACTTCCTAGGGATCGGGTCTTGATAGCATTTGAATGACCGAATTGTATGCGCAAACCTTGGCCTTCAGGCTGATTTGATTGTTGTCCAGGCAAGTCTGGTCGAAGATGTTGGACTGCATATTTGAAAAGGACGCCGGTCATGACTTGTTCGATCTTTCCAGTGACAGCAGCTGAAAATTGAGCTTAGCCATACCGAGAAACATTGCGTCTCCACGACTTTACTAGTGCAGGCTGTTCAGTGAACAATACAATCACTGTTTTGAAAATCAGTAACCTGTTAAAATCACACTCGAAGAGATCAACACTGGTGTCCGAGAGCCATCTTCGTCTCAGGTCACGACATCCGTGTGAGACCGCCGGTGCGTCACTGCCCTGAAACCGCGTTAGACTTTCTGAGTAGTCTTAAACAGGATAAAAATGATAGACAAAGGAGAGGATGTCGGCAAACACTGTAGGCAGCTGCTTTCCACACAGTTAGTCAGACAGTGGGAATGGACACTTAGAGCCCAAATGCCGTTAACGTTAGTGTAACTCCCCCAGCCATGCGCTGCTAGGATCACACACCCCCATCTCGCCAACTCATAACTTGCCAACCCCTTCGTTTCTTCCGATTTGAATCCGGCATGGAAAACGATGTTTTTTGCGGAAGTCAGCACACGCATCACGTGACCAAGTTACAACAGCTGATAATGCTGACCGTTGAGTTTGAATTCCCCTAGCGCATTGGTCGTAGGACCTTGGCTTGTTTGTAAACCTTTGACCAGCATCCGCGGAAATACTTCGGGTATTCCTGATGAATATGCAATTTCTTTTTAAAAATCAATAATCAGCTGTCCCCGGACCTGTGAACATCGTCTACAACAGCTCGCGAACCACTGCCACAACCGTGTTCTTCGAATGGCATGCTCCAACTCACGATGGGAACAAGCCGATCCGCAAGTATCGAATTCGATATGCTCCGTCGGAACCCAGCAAACTTACTATGAGCCGAGGACCACAGGTAATTGACTGAGTGCACACCTACTTGTTTTATCCCGTCTAACCTGTTCTAGTCCTCTCTTGAATTAGTTCTATTGAATCTCGCTTCATGACAACTGAGCACTATTTATCGTTTTCGTTCCTCGCAATAAGTGCAACTGTGTGATATTCCTCCGGTCGCGCCCGTACCGCCTTCCAGCTACCTCACGTGATTCATCTATCGTTTCTTACTTTTTCCCAGCCAAATGTCACCGAGATAGAAGTGGACGAGAGTACGCGTCAAATCCTGTTGGAGGGTTTACGCCCCTACACCATGTACAGGATCACTTTGGTTGCGATCAACGACGTTGGGCCCAGCGAAGAGAACGTGCTACCTTTGACCACGCAAGAATCGAGTATGTTTTCCATGGTTCCCTTTCTCTTACTGTTCCACAATCATTCCGGGGTGCCTACACCTCCAGACACTCATTTAGGTAATCTGGGTAGCAACTGACAACAAAACCGCCACTGACATTGGTTGACATCATCTTGCAGCGTCTCCAATCAGACGCAGTGGGGATCACGTAGTCCCCATCCTGGAAGGCAGGCGGCACTTGCGTGTATTGGGCTCGAACGAAGTCAGACCCATCACCGATGATTCGATATCCTGTGTCCAGAGCTTCGGTTTGGTGACGGGTAGCGCAGTATTTTTCAGTTACTGCGTCACTGCCTCGGCAACTAATTCAGAAATCGCTGATCGTATTGGAAAGAATTCCCCGAACTATAGCGCTTCGCCAAGGATTCATTCAACGGATATGTCTAACTCGGTCATGTCCACGTACCACTACGAGCGAAGAACCACTAACTCAGTGGCTGACTCAAAACGAAGTCATCAGACCAACGAACCGAAAAACGTGACCCACTGTGAAAGCGAATGAACAAAGGTCGAAGCTACTCCGGAACCCGGCGATCGGAAGACANAAGCCAATAGAATGTTCCCCCTCGGTAGTCCATCAAAGTCGACCTTATGCCTATCCAAGTGCGCGCAACATCCGCACACTACCAACCTCAACGCGATTCCACGTACAAAGCATTGATGACATCACCGTGACTGGCGGTGAAAAGTTTACAACCAAATCGCCCAGCTCAGCGATTTGGAAAAGCCAAACAAATTCGCCCCACTTCTAGAGAGGTGTTCCTTCCACGGAGAGATAAATTCGAATACTGAACACTGCCAAAAGGTCATATTAGAGAGGTGGTCATAACAGAAATGATTGTCCGATGAGGCGACCGTTGTTTTCAGCAACCTTATAAGTAGTGAGGTATGATCCAAGGTTTTTTGCCCAATCTACCGGGAGCGAAGTTGTGGTGTGCCACATGAGTGATCCTGTGATTCTGCCTTGGAACGTACTGTTAGGCGGATATTGTTTTACCGCTCGTAGTTAGGTACTGCTACGGCCAAGAAGCCCATCCCGCACGCGATTGGTCAAACGAGGGGCCACTTACCGGTACGGCATCAAAGCGAGCTCTGATTGGCCGAAAGTCTGAACCCAACATCCAATCATGTCCCTGTAGCCTTTGAATGCCAGTTGCCGATGGCGCATGGAGAAGGCATCGGGAGTCCCAAAATGGCGCTGCATACTCTTTATATACGAGGCGATGTACAAGTGTTTTTGACCTGGTTTTAGGCTTTGATGGTTGTTTTGACGGCGACGCTAGCTTGGAAGGTTCAGACCGAGAATTAGGCACGATTATTGAGGCACGATATCAGTCTTGTGTCCCTTTTTTCTTACTTCACTAAATGCTCGCCGTCAATGACACAACAAGTGACCATTGCATTTTTTTCATCAGAACTCTTTGAATTGACGATCTCCCGATCGATTCCAAGCATTGTTTATTGATCACTCACCTTCAACTGCTTTTTGAGTTTACTCAATTTTATTTGATTCTCGATGATTTCCAATCGACAAGACGCTTGTGTGCCGTGCTCCGAGATAGTTCTGTTAGCATCTTCGTTAGATTTTTTTTGGAGTTACCCCCTCCTTTCTGCTAACATGCTACTTCGTTATTTTGCCTTCGCATATGAAGAACCTGATGGACCCGTACGTCGTCTGGTCGCCAACGGTACGGCTTCCGACACGATCGCAGTGAGTTGGGACAATCCGGCCCCGGAACATCTGAATGGCAACGTGGATCGCTACTGGGTTTGTCGACAACGTGTGAACGCAACCTTTTCCACAAGTGAATTAGCCCGGCTCAGTTGGCCTGCTGACTCTCCTGATCATATGAGGTATGCTATTTCTGGACTCGCTTAGTTCTCTCCCTCTCTGTGGAGTGATCATTCGATTCCGTTGCATTCCTGAGGAGTAGTCTAGCCAGACGGGGGGAGCAACTTCGCGTTTCACATGACAGTTAGGTTCTAGACTGCCTCAAATGTCGTTTTTGATGAAGAACCTCTTCTTTACCTTGGCTTTTCCTCATTACCTTTGATACATGTGACTTGAGCCCTCGAGGGATGAGCTTTATGTCATGACTGATCAGAGAATAAAGGCATTCACTTCAGTGAACAGTCAGTATTCAGCTAACAACAGCATGAGATGATTGATAGTGCGGTTAGGCCACTAGAACACGACAGGAATACAACAATAATCGATGTGTGTGTGCACATTCCACAGTCTGGGTTTGGGTGGAGACAGGACACCTTGTTGTCTGGAATGAAATTTAGAGGTATTCGTATTAAGACATCAGGTGGCTGGGGTAATCTTGTGGTCACCGGACATCTGTGCAAAGTTTTCGCCAACAAGCGAACACCAACACTTGTAGATTGTGTACTGAATCCATCTTGTACCTAGATTTCCGTTGATAATTTTATTGAATACTTCCTTAATGTCGCGCACAAACTGACGCTAAGTTGTTCCTGTGTGATTTGGACCATTCCATTAAGCGTCATTTTTCGGTACCCCGTCTCTTTCGTTGGTTGTGGCTGAATTGCGGTTGGTCTGAAGCACTTCCTCAAATGTGTGGTGTCACTGTCTTCAGGAGTTCTCACTGCACCCGTGAAAACTTCCTCCACTATTACTGTCTTTGCTTTCACAATCCCTTCCGAGAGGTCATTGCTGTAGCCGAAAATCGTTTAGGTGAATCGTCCACCGTTTTGTGTGATCATTGTCAGCGAGATGACCGGAAGGTCTGTGGTTCGAACCCGACCTCCGCCTCTCGACTTCGCCTGTCTATGCTTGGGCAGCTTGGCAGTATCCCAGCCCTCGTGGTTCCTTCGGGCGGCATGGCAGCTAGGCACCGAAACGGTGTTGCAACTGAACGATACGATTTTGGCCTCGACACTCCATTCCACCTGTGTTTTTCCTCACTGAGCTCTCCTTCATCGTTGCAACCTCGTTTTGTTTTTCTCTTCCAGTGGCCAACCTGTCCGGGGACGATTTGGACATGTGCATTGTGCCAAAATTCTCCGTCAAAAAGACTATGAAGTAACCGGGCTGCCCAAGTTCACGGCTTACGCGTTCCGTGTGATCGCGTTGAACAGCAAAGGCTCTTCTCCGCCGGCTTTCACTCAAGCTCGGACTCTGGAGGATTGTGAGTTGATGAGTTGACCCTTTTTTCCACACGTATAAGAGATTCGTTAGTCCACGATACAGAATTTCCTTCTTGATAAAGTGCATCCGTAAAGTACTTTTAACCTCATGCATATTCAAGCTGCTGGGACTGCGGATTCAATGAAGTTTAGAAATTTTATTATGCATAAGAGATCAATAGCAAGTCTTCAACTAAACTGCTGTTCAAATCAGGGTTCTAGTGTAAAGGTGATACTACTGATGGGTGCGGCATGCGAGTAGTATGTTTTCTCGTAAACCCGCTTTGCGTCTCGTGAAAAATGAGATCTATTATGGAGTTTGTGGAGTCGCTATGTAGCATTTGCTTGCATTTGAGCAGCAGTCAATGAATATCCAGGAAAGTTCAGGAAGCCGCGTTCAAGGAGAAGATGGATATTCAGTTTTTGTGAACAAGATGCATATGAGAGCATTGCTCCCCTGTCCAGTAGTCTGTAACTTTCTAGCGACTAGCTCCACGGCAAAGCCCTTCTTCCTTTCACTAGTACCCAGTACTCGGTGAAGCCGAGTAGGTGTACCTGATAAGCCTAAAACAGGGCGAGACTTTGAGTAATCGTGCCACATCAGTCGTCTGCGATGCTTATCCTCAGTCCGGACTCGAATCTATGCAACTTTGAGCTACCTACGCAACCGTATGACAGGTCGTTAGAACCTGTCCTTCTGACGCTTTCTGTTGTGCATTTCCAAGGGTGAAGAATTCCGTGTCCAACTCATTTCGAACCGAGTACCCTTTGGTCTTTGACATGAAAAGTTAACAGTCAATTCATTGTGAAATTCCTTCAGAAAAAAGTTGCTCACTGCACCCGAAACATCCGATGATGACATCTGAGCCAAACACACTGTGTTTTGACTGTGAACTCTTCCATCTGGGTCCCGTTTGCGCTTTTCATCTAGTTTTGACGTTAAGTACTGTGTTTTTTCATCACTCTTCCTCATCACACTTGCGTTTGTTCAGTGCCACAAGCCCCGCCCACGGATGTCACGTGCACGTCCCAGCAGCACAGTATCACTGTTTCGTGGAATCCCCCACATCCGGATACAATCAACGGGATTTTAACAGAGTACCATGTCCGATACTTTGCTGCAAATGTGTTTGGAGGTGAGTTACCGAGTCCAATCTCCCGCCCTTCTTGAAAATCTTGTGTGGCTTGAATTGTGTTCTACCGTCTAGACTTGTTTCACCCTCGTGACTTGGGACAGGTTCTCATAGTATAAGAATGTGTCAAGGAAGGGTTTCGACTTCCTAACCACACGTTTTGGGTGGCATCCTGATCATCGAAAGCATGACATTGGTGTTCAGCATCGATGCGTGGCTCCTGTGCACCCATGATGTGTTTGAAAGCCTTATTGTGAACAAAAGATGGACGGGGAAGGGACTTAGTGCTAGCTTACCACAATCATTCCGAGGTGCCTACACCTCCAGACACTCATTCAGGCAATCTGAATAGACAGTGACAACAAGAATGTCACTGACATCGGTTAGCGGTTATATCTTGCAACGTCTCCAACCAGACACAGTGGGGATCACGCGGTCCTCATCCTGGAAGGCGAGTAGCACCGACAGCATCCAAACAATTTGTAATGTCCTTTATACTCCTCTGCCAGGTCAGGGGTTGGCCACCTATCTCCTTCCGCCACTCTGAGTTTGGCCACATTCTTTGGCAAACGATGGTTCACCTCCCCAAAAGTCCTCGTTAGTTTGCAATCTTTGCACTCTCTCTCGTACTTTAATTGCTGCACAGACGAAACGACCTCAGTCAATCAGGCAGTTCAAGGTCAGACGACAGTAACCTTGGCGGGACTTTTGGCGTTCACCAACTACTCCATCCAAGTCGCTGTCAGTAATCGCAAGGGACGAGGTCCATCATCTACTCGCATCATTTGTCGGACCAAGGAAGCTCCACCAACCGCCCCTGGTATGTCAACCTCGTTGAGATTCCGCTGCCTATCGTTTTATCCTCTCTAATACATGATCCAATTCTCCGTGTTTTTTCCGTATATCTTCGCCAAGTGACTAGTTCATCACTGTACCGAGATAATTGGTTAATTCTGGCCAAGATGAACAGTGTGGTGAACAAGAACTGTTTTTCTCTGTTCGGTTGCAAAGCTTGGGACAGCACAGACTATTTACAAGTGCTAATCGACTCACTACTCTGGTGGCCCTTCTTTGTGATTCCAATTCGTCGGTTGTCCCAGTGGGCAGGTCATCAAATTCCACAAGTGACTGATCGAATGTCCTCGGGAAAGTATAAGAAAACCGGTAGTGGAAGCAAATGAGCACTTTTATCTGTTTTTTTTTCCCATAAAACTGTTAGTGGGCATATAACGGATATCTGCAATGTGGGCAGACTTGACTAAGTCTTTCACCAGTGTCGCGGATCGAATCCCTCACACACATTGATCGGATTTGTTCGCAATGTTTATAACCAGCTGGTGTTGTGTCTTCAGCTCTACGATTGACGTTTTCAAGCATATCCTCACCATAACCGAAGGACTTCCCCTCAGGTCAAGCGCCCTTTTATGAATTGCAAAATCCTGTCTTAGCTAAAACTCAAATGTCGAAATTCCTTAGAACATGTGTCCCAACAAAGACAGCCTCAAAGTTCGTCCCAACCACTTTTGACAGCCTTATCACTCCAACCGGACAACCCTTCGGGTGTATACTGTCACCACGTAGACGAGTTGAAACGGTTAATCATGTGACTAGCGTCAGTGATGATGATTGAACTTTTGACCTTGCTAGTTGGTCATCCCGATCATATAGCCATTCTTTTCAAAAGCCAGAATAGGAACGTGCGATATCTCGAATATCGTGCCAACTGAAACATCAGGCGGCCTGTGTGTGGCACATTCAGTTGTAGAATATCATAAACGAGAGATTCAGTTGAGTCTCTCGTGAAAACCAAATCGATTTGCAAATGAGTTTATTTCCCGACAATGTGCAACGTTGTTTTTGAGGAATAACTAACTAGTCATGAGGTTGCTGGGAGCTCTTGGAAAGTCCGTTGTTTCCCTTCTTCGGGCTCCTTTGGTCGGTGCAGTCCCCGAGTTTTCATCAACCTTGAACCCAAATCGGACAGATTGGGACACCTGAAACGTGAGGTGGCCTCATGCAGCACATCCAGTTGAACAAGCCCATCATACACGAGCTGGATTCAACGCCAACTTCGTGTGCAGATGAGAGTAATGTAGGCTTGTGATAAACCATGGTTGTAGTGTCTTTGTCCGGTTAGTTCATTGTAAAGGCTCGAAAAAGAGACGACTGACTGTCTACTGAAAGGTCGACTTTGTATGGTAGACACACGTGGATTACAACCGTAGCGACGGTCTTTATGGCTTATTTAGCAGGTCAGTTCCTGGAACTATAATCCTGGCTCTAAATATGTCCGCATAGCTCGTAACGTATTGGCGATGTGCTTCAGTCTAGCGTCCAGCCAGGGCAGGTCTATCTGGGTCGGTTTGTGAACGGTTCTCTCCTACCCAGGGGGACTGGTTGGGATGAATTTGCGCATGGCTGGCATGCCACCCGAAAGAAACACGAGGGCCAGGTTACCTAAGCCTAGACGAGATCTTTTGAGATGCCGGGGTAGGGTTCGGCCCACGGACCTCTCGACCAATAAACTCACAGTCTAATCACAGCATTGTAAGGGGAAAATGCTTAACCCGACAAATGCCAGTGAAGGTATTCAGATGGAAAGTTGAAGAATGTCAGAAGACCTACACAGCAGGCAGGACAGTGTGAGACACGGCAGTAGTTTGGATGAGCATGGAATCCGAAAATGGGCCAAAATTCATCGGGTCTGTCAGCCTTACGTCTTCTAATCTATTGAAGTCACTGGGTTGTCGATCAGTAGTGTCAAAACCTTGTTCCACACAGAAATTCACAAACCTCATCGCCAAAGGCACTGCCCACATCCTAGTAGTCCTCCTCAGAGGCCATTCGCCCAGAGGGACCTCAGTGGCGTTCACCGCCAGCCACTTTTCATTCTGGAATCCCCCTTCTTCTGAAACAAGGTCCTTCGGGCCAATTACTGTATTGAGAGCAACTGATCTCCCTATACGACGTTACTTTCCCAACATTAGGGCTTACCTGATTGGAGTTGTGACTTCCTCATGAGCTAGAACCATTGCAACTGCTCAAATACGAGTGAGTTCGATCTCTTCCGGTCGAGCTTTCAGCAGCACTTTCCAGGTACGTATCAAATCGTTGTGATACGATGGTTAGATTATTTCTCTGTATTTTTGAGGAGTTATGTTGTAGACGTGCGTCAACCAGAGAGAGAGAGAGAGCATTCCGGGCTCATCGGAAAACTTCTTGCATAGTTGAAGAAGGCATATTGAAGGAGACACTTTTCCTGATGTGAAGTTCAAAAGCCAAAGTGAGGGCCTTCCACGAACCTTGGATCGAGCCTGACAATCTGCAAATTCACGGTGAGATGAGCTGAACGGATCGCTGTCATCTTCCAACATTCCTTCTACTCAGTTTCATACTATGTTGACGTCATAGGTTCAGTTTTGTACCCATAGTTTGCACGGCTCCAGTCCGTACAGACCTCATCCATACTGTTTCCGATTTTTTTTTCGTTGTGGGTGCATAGATCGTGTCAAAGCAACCCCGTTGAATGCATCGTGTCTGGTCGTTTCTTGGTCCCACCCACGAAAACCGCAAGGTCTCACAAAACAATACTGCATCGAAGCAATCCCATTGATCAAAGCTCCACAGGATGGCCTCATCAGTTTGAGTGCGTCCGCATCGCCTGAGCGCGGCAAGGCTTTGTGTGTACGGCCGGACTTCTCGATGTCCTACAACCAGTATACTTATTGTGGTAAGGATCTCGACTTTGTTTCTCTGAAATCCGTTCATTGCCCCTTCCATCCGTATCCGGTTTTTATCCGCTCTCCGAGCCTTCTTGACGACTGTTCATCCACTCAAGCGTTCTCACTTTCTAAACGGCTATGCTCAATGCATGTGTTGACGTGGCTGACCAGGCAGCTTTGTCCAGGTGCCCTGAAGGTGCAGTTACATCGTCGCCCCCTCCTGATATGGTGAATGGCTCTGTACATGGAGGAAGTATTGATATGTTTCGATCCCGTAGTGATTCGCTCACTTTTATACCCTTAAATGTAGCGAGATCATGACCCACTCTGAGGGGGGGGGCTCTCTTTCAACTGATGTTTTGACGATATCCAAGTCCGTCGCATCTGTTTGGAGCGTTTTTTCACCCTGACATCATCTCATTTTTTCTACAACCAACAACGCACACTTATGAAGCAATCCGCTCCCCTGGGAAAGTTAAAAACCGTCCCCTTCAAGGAGGAGACGCTCAGGGGTTGACTAGTGACAGCGAGCGTCACAGCACCGCTGTGCTTTCTACTCACGACCTCCGTACAACTACTGTTCAAAGCAGCATATTTTAATCCTCAGAACCGCATATTTAATGCGCTCAGTGCTTTGGCTGCCCTGCACCCTGATACAGCCTTAGGACGGAAGAAACTTCAGACAACGTTTGAGTGATTCCGTGTTTCTATTGTCGCATCAATGGAATCCTAATCCTTCTCACGTGTAATTTGTTCGACTTTGTCACTCAAAAAAAGATCGACCAGTCATTATCGCGTGATCAAATTTTCCGCCTACTGATGTAATCCCCACCGGGTGTCCACTTGGTAAAGGTCACGTGAGTTTTTTCGGGGAGTTCGCTACTGAGGGGAATGTCGCCAGTTCGGACCGCACAGCGAGCTCGGAAACCTGACTGTCGATGGTAGTGAGTCGTGACACGACTCCGCATTGGGGATATTACCTCGGCCGATAACGAAACGTGTCGTTCACTTCTTGCATGTTTTAGCCAATCCTTTCAGGTTGTTCTGTTAAAAGAACCAATAGAAGTTGAACCCTAGTAAAACCATGCAGTCATTTGATGAGCCCGATCAATACTTCTAACGAACTGTCCGTAACTTTGGTCCTATTTTTTTTTAGGTCTAATGGAACAAAGACCTTACAACATTTCTGTTCGAGCGACCAATCATTTCGAGGGGCACAAGGCCTGGACTGGTCCGGTCTACCCTGTAGCCAATCGTAAGTTGCCCGTAGTTGATTTCCTTATGTATCCAGCCTCAACTTCGGGAGCCTACCAGAAGTCGATCTGCTTAATGGTCTTCTCGAATTTTCCATTTTTATGTGTGTATTGCGTGAAGTAGAATTGAGCACATTCTCTAGGCAAGAACTTCTCCTCCTCGTGTTCAATTTCCCCCCCGCTTGTCCTCCCAACTGCAGAGCATCGGTTTAATTCGTTCATCTGTTTTTTTTTTGTTGCTTCGTTTTCCAGCTCCACCAGGAATTATCTCAATAGGTGGCAAACTGCAAGTGCAGAACAAAATGCCCGTCAGCATGGATTGTTTGGTTACGACCAACTATCCTGTGCGCTGGAGCTATCCACTGGACGACTTAGAGTAGGTGTTTTCCGAATCTTGTCATTTTTTTGTTGTTGAAAATTGCCACACCAACCTTTTGATGGTCGTTATCCAGCAACTAACAAACTGATCGTGTTTTCGTATGTCCATCATCGTCGTGGCTCAGTTTTCTACCCTAAAAAGTGTCAGGTTATCTTGAGCAACCGAAGATTATAGGGCGTAGGTTATCCATTAAGACGTAGGTCGTCAGCCCTTAACATGCCGGAGATTCCGGTTGCTGCCGTTCTGTGCAATTCCCATGACCTGTCGGCTGAAGGCGTGCACGTTTAACTCATGGCCCTTCTCCAGATGGAGATATGCTCCAATCGATCTTTCCAATTCGAAACGCGAGCTTTCTTACCGAGCCGTCCAACTGAACTTTTCGATATCCAGGGGCGAGCTGGCTCAAGTGGTTGCAGCGCGAATTTACTGACCGGAAGGTCCGTGGTTCGAACCCCACATCTGGTTCTCTACTTCCCCTATCTAAGCTAGGGCAACCTGGCAGTATTCAAGCCCTCTTGCTCCCTTCGAGTAGCATGGCAGCTAGGCGTCGGAAGGGTGTTACAACTGAGAGATATCTGGAATAAGAAACTAGGCCATCCTGGTTTATCTGGATCCGTCAGCAGTATCGAGGAGTGGTGTTCCTTGTGTGAAACGGTGGGATCCGCGGTCGGATGTCAAAAACACTAGCTTATATGTTAATTTGATAGGAGCCTGTTGTAACCAACTACCGTCCATGCTGCAGTGCCTTCGTGTTGAAAAATGGCTCGTCAACAAGAAACAAAACAGGAGCATGGCGCGATTTCTAAAGCGCACTTTTGGTCTTGTATCCAGGCTGTCCGATCGGCGTTGGGTGAACGGTCATCCTCGTCGGCTGTCCGCTTCTATGATGTGCTTGAACTCTCGTCCACCTTTGCTGAACTAATTGACTGCTTGAGCGTCCAACCGGCAGCTGGCTTTTCTAGCCTGCCTTCGTGACGGCCTCCCTACCGCGATTTCGGTGGGGTTTGAGGGTCCCCGTAATTTTCCCTAGGTTTCCGGCATTCTGAACCTATTTTCAGGAATCCAAACCTCCTGACAGGACCACTTTTTCGACTCAGCCAGACTGTTCGCTCATCGTGGAGGGTCTACAGACTAGCAAAGGGAGGCGGAAAGCCTTTCGTCTCGGAGTTGTTTATTAGAAAACACCGACTAAACGGTTACAAACTATTGGACAGGAAAGTAAACCTCTCATCGGCACCTTGTTTTTTAATAAAAAATGAATATCCGCCTTCTTAAACTTTCCTGGATATTCATTGACTATCACACAATTGTAAACGAATGTTGCCAAGCCGTTCCACAAATTCCCTAATAGATCCCACCTTCCGTTAGACGCCAAGCGGAGTTACGAGAAACCACATACTACTTGCATGCCTCATCACTAGTATCCACCGTTACACCGACACTCTGTACAAATAGGCCATCCAGTTTCGAATCCTTTTACATCTCTGTTAGTACATGTTCGAATAAAAGTGCGAATGCCCTCACTCAGACTCCTATTCTTTTTTCTAAAGCGGCATCTCACTTTTGGACAACGGCACTTTGTCGATCAAGAGCACGGAAACTGCTCACAGTGGGACCTATCAATGTACTGTGCTCTCAGACACCATCACTTATGATTTGGTTGTGCAGGGTAAGTTACATGTGCCAACGCAGTGGGGTAGGACAGTATCGTACTTCCCTATGCTTTCTTGAGATGCGAACCTGAGGTATGAACAAAAGGGCACACCTGGAGTTAGGATTAAGCTCCCCACTTACCCTACAAATGTTCTGCCAACTACCGATTAAGCCACCTTGATTCGCCACACTTTTGCTGAGTGGAATGTCCGCGGCCACGTGACTACTACAAGGGGCCATAAATCGATATCGTTCAGTGGCCCATAGGAATCCTGTTAGTGGAACTCTCTTTTGCGTCTGCTCTACCCGAGTAGGCACACTTCGTTCACGTAGTTGATTTATGTCCTGTATACAGAGCCAACAGGAGCTAAGGTGAATCGTGCACTTGTTCCATCCTCACTAGTACGTATCTCAATGGTCCTTTGAACCCGGAGCCCTCTGACTGAGAGCTGAACTTTCCGCCGAATGACTCTTCATTAAGTGGTACTCGTGCATTGGTTTTGTAGGCCTCAGTGCATAGCTATGCAGTTCGTCCAACAAAGGAATACTTTCCGTCTCTTATAATCATCACAGGACTGACGCAGGCCAGTCCCCTACCAATCCATCTTCGATGAATGGAGCACGGCAATGGTTGACCCCACTGCACCCGTTCATCAGCGGAACACCATGCTGTACTGTACTGACTCATTCTTCTAATATAAGACTGAAATTTCTAAGAGCCTTGTCACGTGACGTCATCCCACTATACTCCTTGTAAGGTCAATCAAAGCTCATCGGTAGACCACAACCGGCTTTAACCCGTCTTGAGGCTCCCCGGGTAGCCGTTTGGTAAAGTCAGTTTATGGTAACGTGGACACTAGACTTTTGGAGCTTGGATCAATAAAACAAGAGCTTGGATAATGAAACAACCTCGAACAAACTGTGCGAGTTCGGGATCAGTGTGACTGCTATTCATAGAAGCTGAATTCAAGGGAAGCATGTAATACCATCTCCCGTTTTTTCATCTCCGTGTGCACGAAATGTCTATCAACTTATTTGTGCTTCTCGTGTTTCTTTTTTGTTCCAGAAATACTGGAAGGTGAGTGTTGCATTGCGTTTTCTTTTGTTCAAATTCCACTGTTTGGTTGCACATATAGAACCATCGTTTGCTGAAAAGTGCTGTTTTTTTTCGGTGCCCATTCCACAGTGGTACAAACAGACAGGCGGTCAACCTTTGACTTGGTAGAGGGATACGAAAGATATTACGAAAAGTCTGGGAGTTGTCATTGCGAGCGGCCTTCCAGAATGGGGTCCCTGTGATCTGTCTCGTGCATGGTTGGAGGCGCATCCGTCATTATTGGTAACCTCGGTGTCGTCTGACGGTTTCATATGCGTCCCTCTCTGATGACCTAACTCCGGAATGACCACGTCGCTGAAATCGCAATTTACATGCGCCTTCAGGGAATTTCATGTTTTTTTCTCCGGTGTCCCGACCGTCGTCGCCTGACTAAAACTCGGGGATCAGTGTCCGAATCAAATAGTTCTCAGTCAAGCCGTGAATTGACGGTCATTCAGTACAAGTTTCGCCTAATTCATGCGAGCACCCGGTTAGGAATGAACTTTCCATCAACGTAAGCCACGTTAGCTCCGATCCAGTGGGTATTCTGATAAATCTGTAGAACCTGCTTTCTTCGGTCACACTCTGGGCACCTAAAAAATCGGCGGTCGTATAACCCGCGGGGTCACTCATCTGATTGGTTGGGACAGCCGAAGGGACAGGCTAAGGTTAGATGGTACCTGGGATGAGATCGACAGCCGATGACTGTGACACCCATCTGCCACTTGGGACGACTATAAACGCTAACGGGCGCACTGCGAGAGCAGTTGGAGGAATGTATTGTCCAATGACCTAAGCAAAGGTGTTTACTTTCGTCGGGTAGGCCACAAACGTACCGAACTGAGCGGACCACTCTTTGCGCACCACTTATGTAAAGTCCATGAAAACTCCACGACAGCTCACTGCCACTTTTGCTTTTTTGGGGCTCACGAGGTTTCATCACCCCCATTTCCCTTTTTGGACCAACAGTGCATGTAAGTAGAGTTATGCATTCATTCGCAATCAACTTGCCGTTAACGAGGAACTCAGCTGAATCTCCCGTTAGTTGATAAATGGATCAATAGCTCCACTGGTTAACCTATTGCTCTTAATAAAATGACGGAAAACGGGTCTGCGATGAAGTCGGAGTTTAGAGGACACGCCATGTTCACTTCGCCCTCCGAGTTAGTACGTTCCCGTTTTTGGTGCAGCGCCCCTTCCTTTCTTGGGCGTAGTCCTTGTTGAGAGGTTGGATGGAAAACAAGTGGGTTTATGTTTCTGATCTTGATTGAATGTTGTATTTCCAAGTTCCATCCCTTCACTCTATGGAAACCTCAGTTTACTAGTGCCAAACCATTGGGGTTTTATTAGGTCACGAAGAGTGTGCGTGACTGCCCATTGTCCGATTGATTCTGTTTTGCTTGTTTGCTCCAAGTCGCCGATTGTTTTAAACCGCACTGTTGATTAAAACAACTCATGTTGTACTTCCAAGTTCCATCCCTTCACTCTATGGAAACCTCAGTTTACTAATGCCAAGCCATTGGGGTTTTATTAGGTCACGAAGAGTGTGCGTGACTGCCCATTGTCCGATTGATTCTGTTTTGCTTGTTTGCTCCAAGTCGCCGATTGTTTTAAACCGCACTGTTGATTAAAACAACTCAGTAAACGCTGTTGATTGGACGATCGATGTCCGTGAGTAACCTTCTCAAACCCAAATCTTGCTAGTCAATAATGTTGTAAGCTCGCAGAACACCGGTCTCACCTTACGTTTTGTATGAAAAAATACCAAAAAAACCGTTCAGCTGTAGCACCCTTTTGATGCCTAGCTGTCATGCCACCAGGAGGGCTGGCACGACGCCCGGGATACTGCCAGATTGCCCAAACCTAGACAGGAGAAGTCGAGAGGCAGAGGTCGGGTTCGATCTAGTGAATTCGCGCCCTAACCACCTCATCCCGGTTTTGTATGACCGAGTATCAAAAGCCTATTTTGGAGTTTTTCGACCGACCATAACTTTCTATGCGAATATTTTCAGTAAACTCCAGTTAATATTGCGCCAAGGAGATTTGCGATATCCCTATTGTCTTTCCCTGCTCCTTGCCAGATGTACAACACAAACTGTTTTCGGTGAGTGGGTGGTACTCTTCTGTTGGATACGACAAGAAGCTGTTTGTTGCCCTTTTGACGATGAACCTGTTGAAGCGAGAAAATTGTCCTTGATGACGTTTCTCGTTCTGAGAAGTGCCTGTTGGAATCCTCGTCAATGAGACTTGGTAGCGTCTCAGTGACCCAAGTGAATCACAATATGAAACTATCCGTAAGGATAATCGATAAATAGTCCATATTGATTGCGGGAGGAGAGGGGATTCTCCCTGTGTGGAACACTGTTATTATGCTTTGGGGAAATGGTTTTTTGGGGGTAGTATATGATAAAAGTCTCTCGGCAGACTGATTTTATCCGAGTAAGATGTGCTCAAAGCCCGCCGGTAAAATATGGCGTATTTGGTCTAGAGAAACGGGCAGTTCATTTTTACTCCTGGTCCGCGGTTGACGAGAAACAAACTGCGTTTTTCGCCTACCACTGCGATTACTCAAAATGTTCATACTTGAATTTCAATCCTTTCTCTTTACGTTACCTCTAGAACCACCTCGGAGGCCGATCTGGCACAAATTCACCCCCAGTCTTCGTGGCATTCAAGCCGAATGGCTCTCTCCCGGTTCCAAACGACTGGATGCACCCATTTTGTGGTTCTATTTGAACTGGACCAACGCTTACACGGGCGCTCAAGACACAGTCCAGCTCCCGGCTGACCAGCGCACCTACTATCTTTCTAATTTGACCTGCGCGACTACGGTGAAATTCCAATTGTGTGCCGCAAACAAAGTGGGCAACAGCTCGCTCACTGAAGCCACTTCGTGGACTACATTGGGTTCCGGTAAGCCTCAAGTGGCTTTTTTTTGCTCCAGCAATGCTAACGTGATTTGAGCTTGTTTGATTTTTCGGGTCGAACATCCGAAGCGCAATTAGTTCGATAAACGTTTGTGCAGTTAGTCAAATACGCATACCTATTTGGTTTTGATGGGAGAGTCTACTGAATCCTACAGATTGCAGTCGAGTCGACAGCTGCCTCCCCGGGGACTCAACTCACCAATTGTCATTCAGCTGTCGCACCCTTTCGGTGCCTAACTGCCATGCCATCCGAAGGTTGCACGAGTGCTGAGATACTGTCAGATTGCTCAAGCTTAGACAGGGCAAGTCGAGAGGCAGAGGTCGGGTTCGAACCACGGACGTTCCGGTCAGTGACTTCGCGCTCTAACCACTGTGGCCATCTGGCCACCAATTGTTGATGACGCTGGCGGAAATGTCCCATGTGTTGAAATATTGGTAGCTCGGGTGCATTATTCAATAATTGATCAGCTGGTTGTTGATCTGTTCGCCGAACTTGGCACTTGATTTGCAAACGGTTCGTCACCATTCGAGGAGACTGCGCGAACAGCGCACGAGACCTTTGCAAATTAAGTGCCAAACTGGGCGAACAGATCAACAGACCAGAGGTAGCCCAGTCGCGCAGTCAGTGGCGCTCTTTCATCAAAGCTATCACCTTCAGTGCATAGCTAACTATTTCCCGAACTGACTAAACACGCCATCGCCTTCAAGGCTTGGACGTATTGCCTGCACTCTCCTATTTTTCGGTGGTCGAAACTGCAGCAGCAGGAACCAATGCGTCTATGGTACGCGGTTTACACCTGATAAATTGATTGATTGATTGATTGATTGATTGATTGATTGATTGATTGATTGATTGATTGATTGATTGATTGATTGATTGATTGATTGATTGATTGATTGATTGATTGATTGATTGATTGATTGATTGATTGATTGATTGATTGATTGATTGATTGATTGATTGATTGATTGATTGATTGATTGATTGATTGATTGATTGATTGATTGATTGATTGATTGATTGATTGATTGATTGATTGATTGATTGATTGATTGATTGATTGATTGATTGATTGATTGATTGATTGATTGATTGATTGATTGATTGATTGATTGATTGATTGATTGATTGATTGATTGATTGATTGATTGATTGATTGATTGATTGATTGATTGATTGATTGATTGATTGATTGATTGATTGATTGATTGATTGATTGATTGATTGATTGATTGATTGATTGATTGATTGATTGATTGATTGATTGATTGATTGATTGATTGATTGATTGATTGATTGATTGATTGATTGATTGATTGATTGATTGATTGATTGATTGATTGATTGATTGATTGATTGATTGATTGATTGATTGATTGATTGATTGATTGATTGATTGATTGATTGATTGATTGATTGATTGATTGATTGATTGATTGATTGATTGATTGATTGATTGATTGATTGATTGATTGATTGATTGATTGATTGATTGATTGATTGATTGATTGATTGATTGATTGATTGATTGATTGATTGATTGATTGATTGATTGATTGATTGATTGATTGATTGATTGATTGATTGATTGATTGATTGATTGATTGATTGATTGATGCCACCAATGCGTTCGGTGTGCACATGTCACGAGCCGAAACTTACCTTTGAGAATGACTGTTAATGCGTATGAACGATTCCGATGACTGACTCTGATGCCTGTGTCTCCATTGACCGACCTTCAAACTTGACGTTGAAACGAGATCCTTTTCCGATCGATTTGCTAAACCATTCCGTGTGGTTTTTATCTGTTCTTGTCAATTCTCTCTCCCCCCTCACCTAAAATCAGCTCCACAAGCCGCAAACGCAGCGCAGGTGATCCCTACTCATCTGCGGTCGCAGACTGCCGTCACGTTTAACCTGTCCAGCTTCCTTCCGGGGAGTGGTTGCTCGCCGCTATTCTACCGTCTGTTGATTGCCCCGTCAGAGGATGGTCAGTTCGGTTTGAAACAAACGGTCATTAATCGGACATTAACGCGAGCCGATCTAATCACCTTGGACGGTTTAGATCGTGAGAGGTAAGCACTGTTAGTTATGAGATCCTTGTAGTGATGACCTTGCGAAAATGGAAAGACAGTCAAAAAGGGAACAGAACTTTCGCTTGCATGCATGTAGACGTACGAGCTAAAATGTTGACGGAACTCCTCATTACAAACACGGTTTATTCAAGTCCACATACTATACGAAACTTCATTATCAACTCTGGCAGTCAGAGGATCCACCTTTGTGCCTCCACGCGGCCCATTGTTATCCTTTACTTCGTTCAAAGCTGAGCAGAGGGAACATCTGTTTTTTTCTTTCGACACATTGAGAGCGTTGCTCAAAGATTGTCACCCCAATGAGTAAAAAGGCCGGTTTGTATGATATCTTACAGCGTTTTCTTCATGCGATTCTCCAGCACGTGTGTGGATTAGTGGCGATTAGGTCTAGGCTGACTTATTAAATTCTGATGAGCCAAGTGTAGTTGCTGTGTTTGCCGGTCGACCTCTTGGCCCCAACATCGCAACGATGTTGAGTGAAGGTGTTGTAATCGGTGTTAACACCTTTGCATCCACCGGAAGGTTTACCTGCTTTATCGATGAATTATGGAATCCGTAACTATTAGACTCTATCGTGTTGACCGCTGTCGTCTTTCTGGATGGGGGCCTCTTAACAGGCTACACCAATTGCTAGTGATATTGTCAGATGTGGTCGGTGGCGTACACCCGCCTTCAGTGCGTAGTTCTCCTGCCGCCCCTGCGGTGAGTAATGAACTCGGCATCTTCAAACTTTGGTTGCCCTCGCATCACTCCCCCCCCCCAACAGTTTAGTGCTGGCAACAGCAATTAAATGTTGAAACCCACCCAAATTGTTTGTGGTAAACACAGCGTTAGGACACTTTAAACGATCGATGAGGAATCGGTTGCGATGAGTGGCTGGGGAAACGGTACAGATTTATAGCCCCTATGGCTTTTCACGGGGAGCGTTTCAGTAAAACAAGAAACGAGCACCAGAAATTGCTAGAAACACGTTTTGTAGTCGATCTATCTACTCAGTACACTACTATCCCCCAGAAGAAGATGGTACAACAGCATCATCCTTTAGCCGTGTTGTTTTTTTGGTAACATCCGTTCTTCAATGAGAAATCGAAACCCTCTCTGGTATCCTTTCTCGGTGGAAGTATTGAACTGGAGTGTTTTGAGACATAGCATGGTTGGACCTTGTCGTTTCGTCATAAGCAACAAACGGTGCTAGGCTTCGTTTTTGCTTTATTCAGCGAATTTAAGTGTTTGTACGATAGACATTCAATTTCGGGATTACGTATTTACCACCGATCACGTTAGGAGGTGTATTTCTTCAAAATACCGCTTCTTTTGTCCGACACGCACCCTGATGTCGACAGTTTTCGGAGGGGGAGGGGGAGGGGGGAATTCAACGCACCCCGGTAATCCCGGCCTAGTTTGACTATAGAAACCCGCACGGGATACGCAGTTTGTATAGTGATAAGCCCAACCGCTGGCTGTTCAGCATCACGTTCTTCCTGACCCGATCTAGATTTACTGAAGGTCTTGCGGCACTCGATGTTCATAGGATCAAAACCCATACCTTGATGTATACATGATACTTGGCTTCGGTGTGTATGTGTGAGGGAGCAATCCTTGGCACGCCTTCCGACTATCCACTTTCCACGCCGCAATCCCCGTGGCAGTTTGTCCCAGTTGAGACTGTTGATGGCGAAATGCAGTTGGCGACCACTTGGAACTCTCCTAAGTAGGAAGACAACCTCTCAGAAGGGAACAGTCGGGCTTGAAAAGAGGAACATTAGAGTCATAAATGGATCTGAATTCACCTGATAGAACCAGGTGTTATTCCGGTTTCTGCGTATGCCGCGGTTTGTACTTTCGAATAAATGGAGTGGAATTCAGGTCCCACTGGTTTTTGGGGGACGAGGATGTAGCGACCTTTGTGCATAATCCTTTACTTTACTTGCCATGGCTTGAGAAGGTGAGACCACTAACAAAGGTTCTCTGGAAGCCTGTTTTTCCGTGGTATTCTCTCTTCGAGGGATCGTTGCGACGGTTTTTTCTTGGGGGGTTCTTCATCCAGTAGGGATCAGGAGCGAGCATCCCACTGTATTTTCACCTGAAGGCTTGAGTCAAATGGGAAAACTTGCCGTCAATTTCTTCTGTGCCCGTCCTCAATGTTCTCCTATCTCCATTCCCTCTGATGCCCATTTAAAATGGCTGTGCATACTATGGGCGATTTCCGTACGTTGCAGCGAGTGCGCTGCAGGTTGGTCCCTAAATGGACCGTCACATAAGTCCCACTATGCCAAACATTGGCTCGTCTTATCCAAGGTTCATAGGACAGCATTTTGACGTGAGTTTCTTCCAAGTGCACGTAGATTGTGCTTAAAGATGCGTCCTAACGAACTGGTGTTCATTTTGTGGCTTCACTCATCTCGGTGTATGACAGATCCCGCGCGGACAACATCGTCATCCCTCATTGACACTGATGCTACATTGTCACGTGCTCAAGGGTCAAATCAAACACAACCATCAATCCATGAGTAGCTCCGAAGAGCAACAATCCCACAAGATGAATACAACTCTCATGTACGAAGTCATCACTCGAGGAGCCAATCACTTTGGGACCATTTGATGCGAGTTTATCACACTGCTGATGTGACGCTCGTGACCGGACGGTTGAGTGTTCAAACTACGAGCCGGGAAGTCATGTGTTCGAAACTCCGGCTTGGAATTTGTCAGTTGAAACAACCGTACAGTTTTCAGCATAGATTGTTTTCAATTACACAGATAAATCCCGATTGGAATATCGATTTAGTAAGCCGAATGTTACACAGGTTTAACTAAACGAGCAATCAGGGAGAACAGCGTTCGAGATGGCAGATCACCTAAAGTTCAGGTGAATTGACTACCGTGGTATCCAAACTTTGCAGTCATGTTTGTTTCACCAATTGGTCGTTAATCAAGTCAGTCAACCATCTCGTGACCGTTTAGCTCACGTGACCTCATCTAACTCAGTCACATTTCTTTGAACTGTAGACAGTTCCACCAATGAGACAGGGGATTTTTATGAGGGCTTCGTCTTTCTTTTTGGCATCAACTCCCCCAACAATTCGTTGACGACTATTGCTCCACTTTCCCCCATGCAAGTTCCAATTCTTCCGTAAGTGATATCCACCTTCTTCCTCTGTCGTTCCTCAAACTCCTCGACATCTAGTCTTTCAACCGTGTGACCTTATCAAATACTACTCGTTACTCACCACAATACTACTTTTTCCATCTATCCAAAGGTGCTGCTACAATGTGACCAATTTGAATCCGGGGGTCCATTATCACTACAAGATTGTAGCCACGAATCCGGCTGGTTCTGCCAGTATCCAGGGTCAATTCTGGACGTTTACGGTTTTCGGGCGTAAGTTTGCACCATTTTTGCTTGTCGATACTTGTTCGTCACGGGTTTCCCCCACCCACTGAGCGAATGTGATCGATGCTCCACTGTTTGTCCACGTATGATCCTGAATGGCACCAGAATTAATCAGTTCCCGCATTGTCCTTACTCTTTTGGTGGCGGTCAGATGAACCGATGCTTCGTCAAACACGTCTCCTCGGCAAATCCGGCCTACTCCAGCAGCCCACAGTCATCATTCCGATCACCATCCTATTCGCTATCTTGCTCATCGTCCTGATCGCCCTCCCGTTCCTCTGTCGACATCGCCGCCTGGAAGAACATCTTCATCCGGCCAAGGAAGTAACGCAATGTCGAAATCAGCTGCGTCCTGACGAGGAGGCGACGAATCAAGCTCCCGGCGGATTGCAGCACCCCTATCATTCGTATCAGTTCACACGACCAACCCGTTCCGGCCTGCCACCGATTCCGACCACGCAAGCGGACTCCCAAGCTAGCACGGTTGTGTTGACTGGTCGATTAAACTCAGGTGGTCGTGGCTTATACAGGTAAGTACGTTTTTTTATAGGCTTATCTTCCACGTCTACCCGTTACCATGGTACCCAGGTAGTTCACTCGACAATGTAGATTGTTAACACCTTTCTACGAGGACTTGAAACGGCATTCCCTCGGACACTGCGCGTGTAAGTTTGGGAATTGTTTACTCCACGTTCGACTGGCGTGATTTGGCAGCGGTCACGTGAACAGATCATGGAAGACTCAATGCGCGTACAAACGCTTTCTGGGATCACAGATCCGGGCGAATCACCACTGTCCCAGGTGTGGGCAAACAGTGATATTAAACGGATCGGTCGATAGATGCTTGGTAAAAGCGTTGTTACGATTAGTCACGTGACTCGTATTAGCTAAGTGAGCCACGACTGCGCCAGTAATAGACCTCGTAAATCCGATTGTCGGCCGAAATGGGTGATGCCACTTTAATTTTTTTTTTACATAACTGTCGCATATTGCTTGTGACAGGTGAGCGCAGACCGGCAGTTTATCCTTGACTTGTAGACGCATCCACTGAGTGGTCGTGAGCCACACTTTGAGTGGACCGGCCGGAAAGGTTTCCCGAAGTGTGTGATGTAGACAGCGAGTTAGCTAGCCTGTAGCTAGATTGAAAGGAAGACCGATTAAGATGGATTTCCTTTCGGCTGTAACCGGTTCGGTTTTCGCAGATGTAGTACTCATGTGTTTTGAGATGAATCTATTCGGATTCCATTGTCATTTTCACCAAGTGCGCTAGCTAGCGAGTGATGTTCACCTGTAAGTTCGCTCTCTGGGCCCTTGCCCTGCCAGCAAGACACCAAACTAAATTTCTTTCACATGAAGGAAACTACTCACAAGGTTGCTGAAAACTCTTCGACAGCCCACGACCGGTTTCGCCCTTCCAGTTTGGGCTCATCAGGCAGGCGCAGTCCCCGAGTTTCCGTCAACCTTATATTCTACTTGAACCCAAATTGGACTGTTTTTGGGAAATACACTCATTTGCAAATCAATTTGGTTTGCACGAGAGACTCAACTGAATCTCTCGTTTATGATATTCTGCAAATTTCGTTTATGTATCAGTGGGAGTTGTGTACTCTCACGTCGAAATCGCTTCCCGGCAAACCGAACCCTTCATTGAACAATGTGCGGGCTAGGTACTCGAAATCGCCAGTCCTTAGAGGGTCTGCTTCACTGCAGGTTTTCTTTTGGATTTCGGACGGGGCTGCTCTCTTGCACCAACCCTCCCCTTTCATCTTTGTTCTTGATGCGCCTAGTAAAACTTTTCTTTCTGTTCGAAATGCTCCTGGAACGTTCGCCCACTGGCACTGCACGAATGATGCTCCCGTTCGTGAATTCATTCCTTCAGAACTCAAAACAGGCCTGTCGTTCTGCTATGATACCCTTTCAGTGTCTAGCCGCTATGCCATCTGAAGGAAGCACAAGGGCTTGGATACTGCAAGGTCGCCAAAGCCTAGAGAGAGGAAATGGAGACGGAGAGGTCGGGGTCGAACCACGGAACTCCCGGTCAGTACATTCGCGCTCTAACCACTGAGACATCCCCAACATGCAGAAATGTTTATCTGTCAAGAGGGGGGCGTTATGCTGCTTTTTTCGTTACTTAGCCTACCTTGGCTGTTCTTCCGAGATATGCTTACCCTTGCATTAAGGGTCGGTGTATCTCCTGCATCGTGGTACCTGTAAGCATTGGAGATGTTCACATTCATTATTATTATTATTATTATTCTATCGCAGTTGGTTCAGTAGTAAACGGACTCGACACTATGACCGTGGTCGTCCCGCGCCGGATCAGACAGACATGGTGAAATCTGCTCAGCTTTGTGAGCCTCCAGAAGAAGACAGGCTATCCACCAACTCGATTGACAGTGAGGGTGAGTCAGCGCTTGAGTTGTTCGAGCTGACGCTCGCTTGTGTCCCCACTGCTTTGCATCATTCTCGGTTTTTTGCGCTTCCACCTCCCTTCAGGCAATATTAACCCATATGCGACCTACGCGGCGAGTGGATTCCCCGAATTGACTGGACAAGTCGGAACCGTATCCGGTGTGAGTGCGCCGGGGAATAAGACGCTTGCGACCAGTGGAGATCCAACTGCTGAGGCCACCACGCGAACAAGAGACTCGTCAAGGAACCCACAATCTGCCTTGGACTCGTCTAGGCTATGGAATACTTCCAGACAACGAGGTAACCGTTTCGTGGCTTACCTAGTGACTGCGTCACTCCGATTGATTTCCACTACTTTCCTCAGTTGCTTATGTCATTGGCTCATCTGGTTACTTCCATGCCTTGCTAATCGGTTTAGAAAAATGGCTTTCGAACCCATAGTTGACTTGATGAGCACATCCCGTGATTGACGTGGTCACGACCACGTACGACCTCAGCATTACTGATCCGATGTTCCCACCAGACCTGGCCAACGCTTCGGAGACACCGTATGTTCTCTGCGCGTAAGGGCCACTTTTCTTATCCATAAAACAGTATGGATCGCAGTGTAAACTCTTCCCTTCACTTCATATCAGCGCCATAGGTACCGGTGGTTGGCAAAGGTGCCCTGGCCTTTCCGATTCGAGCAATAATCTCATCTCCAGCCAGTCCACTGGAACTTATACAGCTGCCCAGACAAACAAATTTATTTACCACATTGATTGGCTCACCTGCAAGCATGAGGTGTGTGTTTGATCCCACCCAGTCTTGTGGCAGCGCTTCACACTTTGCTGGTGTGAAGTGCATCCCGAAGCAGAGTTATTTAGCTTATTTAAAATCGCTTGCATTTGTGAAGGATCTGAACCGGGTAGAACAGACTCAATGTCTGTGAGGTAACGTCCTGGAGCATTTTAACCCCCGAGGTTTCAGAGACAGGCAGAGAAATTCCAAGCAGCGTATCACTAGCAAATGAACTGAACCAGAAGAACTAGACCCTAGGCTGGACCCAAACACATGTAGGTTTCCCCACCGACCCAACACTTGTTCAACCAAGCTAACACACTAAAATCCCTCGGCCGACACCCAACAGAGATTTAGCTTCACTTAGCTGATTGGTTCTCCTTCCGCCTTAAATCTCCACCAACCTCGGAACCTGGTCACTTGCTCTGACGAAGCTTTTGTGTCAAAAGCGAAACGTTGCCCAACAATGAATCTACCGATTGTCACGTCACCAAATCGAAAATGCGACAGAGTTATTTGCATTTGAGAAGAGTCGTCAACCGTAAAAGCCGCGTACTTACCGTAAAATGATTGTAGCTGCCACAGTTTCGTCCACCGACGATTTGGGGAGGTAGGGTAGGTATCAGTTCGTTAGAGGCGGAAACTGATAAATTGCTGCGTAAATACAGGTCTGTCAATGGACGTTTAAGTGGAGTGATTGGGAAGGAATAACTGACAGTCATATAGCCCAGCGACATTTGCTTGCGCGGTGGGAAGGGGTTGGGGAGGGACATCGGTGGACACCGAACTGCGCGGGCAATTGATACTTCTTGGTTGCCCAGTCCGAGGAAGGGGGTTGGTTGAGGTACTTCATCTTGAGCCTTTGGCTCGGAAAACTGATTCACAAGGCAGGGGGACGATGTAGGGGTTCCTTCGGTGCCCCTAGCCTCTGACTCAAAAGTCTGGCCGGCGAGGCAGCGGACAGTAGGGTTTTCTTTGGGGACCCTTCCCGGAGTTGATGACTCAACAATCTGACCTGCTGGGCAGCAGGAGATTGGCCTAACCCGAGGGCGCAGGGAATAAGGCATTACTGTCTCATTCCTGATGCGGCTGCGCACAGCAGATGCCTTCTGAGCAGCACCGGGCTCTTTGGTCTTAAAAGTATTGGATAATGCGCCGGCGGTTACGGTCAACCGTTGGGCGATCGGAGTGTGCGGCATTTGAAGCTGGCTTTTTCTAACCCGTCCTTCCTCGGGGGAAGGCAGAATCGCTGCTTCCATAAATATGGACATGCTGGTCGCCTGGGGGAAACACCTTACTGCCTTCACACTCCTGTCACAGAGGACAGTACGACTTTACCCCCAGACCGCCTCGTAGCACGATTACTCGTAGTACGGGGTCTCGCTGCTCTTGGTCTGACTGCTTCCCTTTGGCCCTCCCGGCATGGTTGCACCTTGTGGAACGGAGTTCCATTCAGTGTAGCCCGCGGGATCATTGCAGCACTGAAGCCCGACCACCACGTCAAGGTGGCAGCTTTAGGTCGGGGACTGGGAAGGGAGCTGTGCATTGAAGGCAATAGCTTAGACGCACGACCTTCATTGAGGGCACGACTGTGCCATATATGACAGTGTCTAATCTTCTATGTATCCCATCTAGGGTTCCCCATCCAAAGAGATACCAATGACCAAGACAGCTGAGTTTGCTGTACCTCGCAGCTGATCAAGTCGTACGAAGCAATGGATTTGTTCAACTTCCTTCCCCAATCTCCACTCGACTCAGAACCCGTTAAGTGCACGAAGGTATCAAACTCCATGACTCAAATAGGATTTTCCTGGTTTTTCCTTTGTGCCCACTGGAGAGGGAATCAAGAAATGTGGTCCTACTTCATTCCTTGTTTGTGAGATTGTGGTGGTCTCATTGTTTCGTTGCGTTTTTTGTTACTGTCATCTATCATCGTATCTACTGTTCTCCCCTTTTGCTCATTGACTTCCAACCCACTTCTCCGAGACAGGCCCACGGGCTGTAGGAGACTCAGTGCCCTTTGCGGGTCCTCACCACTATCACTATCCCAATATGAATGCTGTCACAGTGGGTCGACCAACGCTCCTACGCGTCGGATCAGGTGGTCGCTTAAGTGGGTTCGTGGACCCAAGATTACTCTCTCCGGCCACAGCAGCTCTAATCGATCCAGTCTTGGCACCCTACGACAACAGCACGCTCGGAGTCGGTGATCTGGACTTTGACAGTACACTGGTGGGTGTACCCCTGGTTGGTCACGTGGATACAGGATTCCGCCGACGGGTCAACTCATTCGAGTCGTTGCATCGATTCTCGCGTGGGTGTAAGTTCGAAAGCCCCGTATGTCTCAATATTGTTTTACCCCCATCTTTCTGCTAATCGTTCTACCTTATATTCCTTTCTTCATTTCCAACAGTGTCGCACGACCTTCATTGAGGGCACGACTGCGCCATATATGACAGTGTCTAATCTTCTATGTATCCCATCTAGGGTTCCCCATCCAAAGAGATACCAATGACCAAGACAGCTGAGTTTGCTGTACCTCGCAGCTGATCAAGTCGTACGAAGCAATGGATTTGTTCAACTTCCTTCCCCAATCTCCACTCGACTCAGAACCCGTTAAGTGCACGAAGGTATCAAACTCCATGACTCAAATAGGATTTTCCTGGTTTTTCCTTTGTGCCCACTGGAGAGGGAATCAAGAAATGTGGTCCTACTTCATTCCTTGTTTGTGAGATTGTGGTGGTCTCATTGTTTCGTTGCGTTTTTTGTTACTGTCATCTATCATCGTATCTACTGTTCTCCCCTTTTGCTCATTGACTTCCAACCCACTTCTCCGAGACAGGCCCACGGGCTGTAGGAGACTCAGTGCCCTTTGCGGGTCCTCACCACTATCACTATCCCAATATGAATGCTGTCACAGTGGGTCGACCAACGCTCCTACGCGTCGGATCAGGTGGTCGCTTAAGTGGGTTCGTGGACCCAAGATTACTCTCTCCGGCCACAGCAGCTCTAATCGATCCAGTCTTGGCACCCTACGACAACAGCACGCTCGGAGTCGGTGATCTGGACTTTGACAGTACACTGGTGGGTGTACCCCTGGTTGGTCACGTGGATACAGGATTCCGCCGACGGGTCAACTCATTCGAGTCGTTGCATCGATTCTCGCGTGGGTGTAAGTTCGAAAGCCCCGTATGTCTCAATATTGTTTTACCCCCATCTTTCTGCTAATCGTTCTACCTTATATTCCTTTCTTCATTTCCAACAGTGTCTCGTACGTACCATCGTGGATTCAGTACAAATGCCCCTGCTCATTCAATGATGGCTTCCAACCTTCTTGGTCCAGATGGTCAACCTCTTCCATTGGCTGGTCCTGGCGTCGCCGCCGCCAACTTTTGTAAACAGACGGATCCGGTTGTAGCTTACCGTGGCAGCGTCTTGTCTAGCACGACGGCGTCATCTAACCAGGATGAATTAGTACAAGCATACGAATACGGACGCAGAAATCATCCAAGAATCGGTGGCACCAACCTGCTGTCCATGACAGGAAGTGGTGCCGGCGGTGGGGCTGGTCTCGTGCCCCCACGTAATCACATGGCACCCGATCAAACCCCCACAATGTTATATCCGCCAATGAAGGCCAGGGGAGTATCCGAAGTTGAGGTAAGCGAAGGTTCGGGATCCAGCGAGGCCACAGACTCATCGGGGATACGTCAGTTCACGCAACAACCTCCTCAACCGGATGAGGCACGTCATGCGGCGTGTGAAATCCCACTGGCTTGTGAAAGTGAGTTAGTTACTCGTTAGTTCTCCTACTCGTGTGTTTTGCTTGCGAGTCAGTGTGGTTTTAATGCCCACTGTTCTTTCGTTTCCCATAGACAAACAGCTTGGCTCCTACCGTCCGGGAAGGGAACCTGGTTTCCAATATGGCCCCATCCGTGCAGCAGCTGCCGGTGCCAGCCGTAGACCAGGACAGCCTTTGTGCCAAGCCAACTTTGATATGCACTCAGAGTTGACGGATACGTATGCGTCTGTGGATTACAATGCCACGCCGTATGTTCTCGCGAACGCGGCTTTTGCCGCTGGCGCAAGTATGAACCGACGCGATGGTCGACAGATTTGTGCTCCCAATACGGCTGCCACTTCAAGGGCACGTCAACCACTGCCAGCTGTCCCCGCCTCGTCTATGCTGGACTTGTAAGTTTCCCATTCGTCTTGTTACTTGGTCCTATTCGTTTGGGGCTCTCCATAAGTTTCGTTCCGCTATAGAACGCTTTCGGTGCCTAACTGCCATGCCACCAGAAGGAAGCACGACGGCTGGGATATTGTCCAAGTCTAGGCTGGGAAAGTCGAGAGGCAGAGGTCGAATCCGAACCACGAAACTTCCGGTCAGTAAATTCGTGTTCCAACCACTGAGCCATCTCTCACCCCAGGAGTTTGCTCGCCACTGCATTCAACACACAATGATCACGCGCTGTTGCTTCCTCACCATCATGCGCACCGTTAGGGTGTCACACATGCCGACATAACCGGTCACGTCGCATTTTCTCTTTCGGGTCATCTGGCCAAATTCGCTCCGTTCTAACCCGTCTTGCTGAACAGACCCACCGGTCCAATCACTCTTGTCTCTCACATACGTAGTAATTGGACATTAGACAGCGGCTCGAATTACATAATGTTGGGTGGGACCCTCGGCCAAAACCGCCTTATTGCTGGCAGTTGGGTGCTGCAACGCGCAGTAGGCCTAAGTCGCACGGTATCGGTCAAAGGGTCGGACCCAGCATCAAGACGAGCTGTGATTGGTTAAAAAATGCGGACCCAGCAGCCAATCATTTTGCTGTATCAGCTGATTGCTGATTACTAGAAGAGGCACCTGAATTAGTTACATGGATGGCTTTAAGCACCACGCACCGCGCACACTCGACTAACTCATTCCGGGCATCTATTACACTCTGTGCCCCATTGCTGGTTTGTTTGGGGGAGTCAGACCAAGAACTGAGCTGAAGCATAACAGCTGCTCCATGCGGATACTACTACAATTACTATAATACTGTATTGTACTATATAATATAATACTATAATAATAATTACGATAATAAATCATTCAGCGGTAACACCCGTTCGCCGCCTAGCTGTCATGCCATCCGAAGGAAGCACGAGGGCTGAGTTACTGTCAGGTTGCCAAAGGCTAGACAGGAGAAGTCGGGTTCGAACCACGGACCTTCCGGTCAGTAAATTCGCGCTCTAATCTCTGAGCCATCTCGTCACTTACTTGTGAAAGCATACCTGTAGTATTACTCCAAATAGTGACTTCTCCCCGCTCCTGTGATCCTTACTCTTGGATGATGCCATATTCCTGGAACCCAGTGAGGCCGATATAAATTTAGACGCTTTCCGCATCACCGTTCTGTGACAGGGGTCTACTCTTTTAGGATTTTCAAAGACCGAATCAAGCTCTGTTGGTGACTTGTGATTGGCTAAACTGTTGGACGGTTGGATGAAGTCATACGACCCACATTTCTTGCAGCAAGTCGTGAGACAAGCCCTCGATCGTAGAAGCGGTGTTGTTCGCCTGAACTGGTTGATGCATTGATGTTTCAAATCGAAGTGTTCCGCCTTCACTTTTGTGGATATCACTCCAGCCCTATTTTCCCCCTATTTCTCTCATCTCAATTCGTAGCCCCGATGACGTTTCTTCGGCATATGTGCCTGCCTACGCCGGTCAGTCTGGTCGATACTACGCAGCTCACCCGACTGCCTTCAACAGAACAGCCCCGATCAGTGGCCTGCAGAATCCCGCTGGCGTTTCTGGCGTTCGATATCAGGGTATGTTGTCTCTGCCTCCTATGTCGTACGATGAGGCTTCACACGTAATCGAAACTCGGCATAGCAACTCGCCTTTCTTTACCAATGATGATTTTCTTATGTATTTTTATGGATGACAGGTTCTACGATCTGTCGTAAACAATCTTATCAGGCGTAGCTAAAGTCACTGCAAGCTCAAGAGTTCCTTCAGCCTTCTTGTGTTTCTGGTCATGTGGTGTGTTGGAAGGCAACTGCTGGAAGGTGACTGTTCCTGGTCTTCACAGCCGATATCCCAGCTCTCAGTTGCACTCTACTTCGGCAGCGCTATCCCCCTGACGGCGATGCGAACAGCAGTTGATGCCAAGCTTGCACAACGCGTGCTCGAACCGCGTCGTTGAGCGAAAATGAAGAGTGCTTTGGAAACGTCGTGCGACACCCCTCGTTGGAGCATCCGATCCTCAGGGTGCGTCGAAGACACTAGTAAACAAATACATTGAGTCGGCGAAAGTCACCGACTCGAAGGGGACAGGTTTCCTTCCAAGACTGATGAATTCAGCACTCAGCAATAAATCGATTAGATGTCAGTCTGATATTTTTATTGATATGCTCATCTGGGTCTCCATCAGCACCATTCTAAACCAATTTGATGGCTTATGTTACCGGCGTTTCTGCTCGCAGAATTAGGGTAAGGCGAAACGTAGGGAGAATGCTACTCTAATGGACCCCTGCATCAGTTGTCATGGGGACACACGTACCTAGCGTATGTCCTGAACGCGTGCTCTTTCTCATTAATTATTGCGGTGGTGATTCCGGAGAACGGTCTCGATCTCAGTTAGATTTCTGGGCTTTTGTATCGATCCTTTTTAAATTCCGATCAGTGCAGATTTCTCTCAAGTGGTCGACCTCGGAGTCGTTCAGATCATTTCGGTGCCTGGCTTCCTTGCCACCGAAGGAAACTTGAGGGCTGGGATACTAGCGGGTCGCCCAAGCCTAGACAGGGGAAGTCGAAAGGCAGAGATCGATCGGGAAGCACGGACCTTCCGGTCAGTAAATTCGCGCTCTGACCTCTGAGCCATCTCGACCTTGAGAAGCCAGTCAACACCAGATCACGTGACTGTGGACAACAGCTGATCAACCACTTTTTTTCACCGAATCGTACAGCACTGAAACCCTAACCGAAGGGTAGAGGAATCGATTCACCACAGACATGAGATGTATGCTTTTCGGGATAGATTGACTTCTCTTTTAGGATAATATCTCTTTTGAAACTTCAAGATTTTCTAAGTCTTCACGGACTGAGTGTCGGGGTTGTTAGCCCTGTGTTTATCGTTCATTCAAGGTTTTTGCTGCACAGTCTCTTGAATTGCTCTTGTTGTTGGTGGGCATTAGGGCTAAGTTTGTACTTTTGTCCTATGTATTCGCTTTCTCGCTCCTACGTGGAGTCAGTAAACCTTCCTTCCAGGTTTGACCTTGCTCGTTTGACCCGTCCCTTTTGTTAAAGGTACAGGACACTATGGAAAAAGCTGCGTTGATGCTGGAGAAAATCTGGGAAGGTGAGTTCAACTGCCTTGTTCGGAAAACTGTTTACAACCAAGAGGATGGAGTTGTATATCCCACTACATGTTCGCGTGAAACGCATCCGCCCCAACCTAGACCGTCTCTTTACATATTTGTACAGGTAGTTTTCAGAGAAGTAGGTAGCTAGCTTTCTTGGGAGAAACTACTCACAAGGTTCCGGAAAACTCTTCGACAGCCCACGACCGGTTTCACCCCGTATTGGGGCTTATCAGGTAGGCGCAGTCCCGGAGTTTCTGTCAACCTTATGTTCTACTTGAACATCATAAGAAAACACCATAAACGAGAGATTCAGCTGGGTTCCAGGTGAGCCCCTTGTCACCGCAGTTGGTGACTCACTCAGTTCGTGAATAGTGATCGCTCCTTATTCGGACGCTTGTGACTAGAGACAACAAGACAAGACGAATTATGTCAAGAGTGGTCGGAATTCGCCAAGTTGCCAGCGTAGTCGTAAAAACTAAAATAATCCGCATATTCGTAATGCACTACTGATAAGGTTGCTGAAAATTCGACGACAGCCCACGACCGGTTCGAGAGATTCGCTGGGTTCCAGGTGAGCCCCTTGTCACCGCAGTTGGTGACTCACTCAGTTCGTGAATAGTGATCGCTCCTTATTCGGACGCTTGTGACTAGAGACAACAAGACAAGACGAATTATGTCAAGAGTGGTCGGAATTCGCCAAGTTGCCAGCGTAGTCGTAAAAACTAAAATAATCCGCATATTCGTAATGCACTACTGATAAGGTTGCTGAAAATTCGACGACAGCCCACGACCGGTTCTGCCCTTCTTGGGGCTCATCAGTTAGGCACAGTCTTTGAGTTTCCGTCAACCGTATGTTCTATTAATCCGTGTTGAAACGACAGAGCAGGTGTGAGCAAGGTTTCCACTGCGTCGTACATCAAGAGGTTGTCGAAATAACTTCTGGATTTTTGTGACATTGCTTCAGCAGAAAACTCATCATCATCATCATCGTGGACGGCATGACATCAGCGTTCAACACTGATGCTTCGCTGCCGTACAACCATGATTTGTTTGAAAGCGTTTTTGTGAAGAAAAGAATGAAGGTGGACAGGGAAGGGACTTAGTGCTAGCTTATCACAATCATTCCGAAGTGCCTACACCTCCAGACACTCATTTAGGCAATCTGGATAGAAACTGACAACAAGAACGTCACTGACATCGGTTGGCAGCCATATTTTGTAGTCTCTCCAACCAAGCACAGTGAGCTCTCCATCCTGGAAGGCGAGTAACACCGACAGCACCCAAGAGTTTCGTGATCTCCTTCATACTCTTCTGCCAAGTCAAGGATTGGCCACCTCTCTGTTTACGCCACTCCGAATTGGGCATGGAAAACAGTACTCTCTCCGGCAAACGAGGGTTCGCCATACGCAACACTTGTCCTAACCAACACAGCTTTTGTTGCTGGACACATTCTTCGATTCTTTGACAAACAGATATCGATCAACTTCCTGCTTGTGAGGCTCCTTTACAGTCTTTGCCAGGTGAACTGCACAGAGGCGACTATCGACGGGTATCCGGTCAAGTAAGGATTTTTCTGCCTGGTGAGTTAGGACGATATCCAGCCGTATAGATCCCGCCGCAGCAGCCTCCCGATCACCAGAGGTGCGCAGACAGACGGGAGTGGAGACTGACGGGGCGGTTAACTCAATCACTGTGCTTGCATCTTGAATTCTCGTTTCTGAGACACAGCACACATCAATGGCAAGCGAATCCAGTGTGAGTGCAAGAGCAGCTTGTTGTCCTGCTTGCTTCAGAGTGCGAACATTGAAAGCGGCCAGATAGAGTGGGTGTCGAGGCTTGAGGACTGATCTGGAGATTCCTGAAGATGTCGGCACCATGTGACGAGCAAATGCTGCACGCAAAACCGATAGTTTATTTGTGTATTGCAATTCATGGTTGTACGTGAGCTGGGACACTATCTGGGCGCCCACACCCAGACAGGGTCCTCAACCAAAGCCTTTGGCTCAAAAGCCTAACCGCAAGGCAGCAGTGTCTGGCGGGAAATGCGAATGCACTACCATTTATACGGAACAAGTCGCCACATGTTCCAACCCCCAACCTGGAGGGCCAGGAAACTGTTCGTCCGACCTGGTATGAGAATCTTTGTGAATGCCGCTCGAACATCTCGCAGTATAGCAAAACGAAATAAGGGCATTCTTTTGTCTCTCCTCTTGTCTATGGATGCGAGGTTTCGTTTTCCGCTAATTGACTGAAAACGCCGTCAGAGGCGAGTCGGAAGTACCGTTTTTTTCTTGAAGTTGTATTCAAGTTCCCTTCGTGTCGTAACCTACAAACCGCAGTTCGTTGCCGCGCGGGCCGATAAGATGTGATGATAGGCACTTTTGTGACTCTATAGACGACCTGGTAACTGAAATTTGGGGTAATTGATGATGTTCCACCTGGCACTTTACCCCTATGTTCTGTGTTCTTCTCTCATCCCACAGTCATCTGGACACACGTACTTTGGTGAACCGCGGACCACGTACCAAACCTGTCAACGCACGACCTGATCCCACACGTATTGGTCCAGACAACTCGGACATCTCTTGTACAAATGTAAACAGCACTAATGGGCCTCCCGATTCGGAAGAAAACGTGTACACTTCCGAGTTTGTTTTAGTTTGATCCAAGTACCATGAATCACGCGCTTTCCATCTCTCCATCCCATACCCCTCTATTTCTCTGCCTCTGTTATCCTTGTCAGCAATTGAGTCCTGAACTGTTCCACCCCCCGCACAGCTCCACAAGAAGCTGTCTCTGGTCCTCGTTGCGGTGCGTCGTTACCTCAACTAGCCTTGTTTATCAGAATCTACCACCCCGGCTCTTTCCGGGACGACGCTCGTCTTTTTTAGTGTTTCTTTCTCCTGTCTTCTGTGATTTCCTATTTCCGCCTCCATAACCGCTCTCTCTTGTGTACATATGTGCCCAGTTGGAGCCAATTGGATTTTCGGCTCTGCTCCCCCCCCCCCGCAATCCCCTCTCCAGTCTATCCTCCTTGTCCTCACCTCCCCCAGGTTGCTTTTATTCCGCGCTGACTCTGCTTTATTTTTGATTCATTTGTATCTTTATTGCCACTGTGTTGTTATTGTCTATCAGCCAACCAACCAACCAAACAATCACTCTGTTTTTTCCGTTCTAGTCAGTTGTGAAAACAAAGCATTTGTACAGACAGACACGTCACTTTTCAGCAGCTACCCCAGCGGCACCACCACTGATCCCCCGATGCCAACGACAACATTGTGGAAGCTGCGTGTTCTAGTGATATTCTTTCTCTCTCCATCGCATCCAGATGCGCTCGGCGGCCAGGCGATCCAGACGCACACACCTGCATGCTTTTTTCCAGAGGAGATGAATGATGTTGTTTCTCTCTCTCTCTCTTTCAAAATATCCTGCTGCTCATTTCCTCCTTAAAAAAAACGAACGAACCGGCCGTCTGACTTTTCGAAGCAGTACACTTTCTATGAATTGAAATTTTTTCGCTAATTATGATTTTGCGTCTTGGAAAAATCGAGGGACCCCGTCTTTGTTCGTCAGTTTTAATAGGTAACCTTGGTCCATAACACCCTTCCGGTGCCTAGTTGCCATGCGATGTGAGGTGCTGAGATAGTGTCAGGTTGCCCAAGCCTGAACAGGGTCAGTCGAGATACGGAGGTTGGGCTCGAACCATGGACCTTGCGGTCAAAAAGTTTGGCTCATCCTAGTTTCCAGTGAAGAGACTATAACCTACTCGGAATCGCACTCATTACGCTGTTTAACCAGGCGAAGACCACGTCTGCTAGAAGGCATTAGTAGTTTGTCATGCGTTTTATCTGGATTGGGACCACTGGTTAACTTCACTTACCTAATGTTTCAATGCGAATTGTACGCTCTCAAATCTCAACTGCACACAGGACGGGTCTGAAGAAAGCCACTGGGTGACCTTTATTTATCGCATCCGGTTAGAATGATGTCTCATATCCACACATCACGTGCCTGAGAAGCCAAATGAGTCACATTGCAGGCTTTGGTCACCTGACGAAGTGCATCACATCACACCTTCAAGTGATCAAGTGGTCATTTTGATTCGTTCTCAGAAACCAGCTTGTCGAATATGGTTCAGCATTTCCCGAATCGTCATTAGATTTCGTGACATTCTCAACACCTGTGCTATGTGAACGCGTCTCAGTTTCCCTCCCATCCATCCTTACATTCTTGTGATATTCCAGCGCTGATCTTTGTGTTGCCCTAAGTAGTATGTTTGTGTTTCGGGTCCGCTGTTCGTGACAATCCAACCTGTTCCAACCGCTCCCACATTACTGTCCTACATAGTGGAACATTTTAAGAAATGACATTTGGAACTAAAAAATAAATCACTCGGCTGTAGCACTCTTTCGGTGTCTAGCGGCCACACCACCCGAAGGAACACGAGGGCTGGGATAGCGACAGGTTGCCCAAGTCTACACAGGGGAAGTCGAGATCTGGAGTTCGGGTTCGAACCACAGATCCTTCGACCAGTAACGTCGCGCCGCAACCACTGGGCTTTCTCGGGCTCCTTGATCACTTTAGCCTAAATGTAAGCAAACCTTACAATGAGAGTGTCACTATCCCCGTACACCGACCTGCATCCCAACAGTTGTTGGTCGAAACAGATTGAAGAACTGATCCCAAAAATAGGCATTTTCAGGTAGTTCTAGTCAAGATAGACTCGAAGTTGTCGTGCGTAATATCGTCCTTACTAGGTTAATGAAGCAATCGAAACAATGGCGACGACCACAGGGGAAGCGAGATCTGGAGTTCGGGTTCGAACCACAGATCCTTCGACCAGTAACGTCGCGCCGCAACCACTGGGCTTTCTCGGGCTCCTTGATCACTTTAGCCTAAATGTAAGCAAACCTTACAATGAGAGTGTCACTATCCCCGTACACCGACCTGCATCCCAACAGTTGTTGGTCGAAACAGATTGAAGAACTGATTCCAAAAATAGGCATTTTCAGGTGGTTCTAGTCAAGATAGACTCGAAGTTGTCGTGCGTAATATCGTCCTTACTAGGTTAATGAAGCAATCGAAACAATGGCGACGACCGTCTATCCTTGAAATTTTTTCCCACATGGGTCTTCGCCTAAATGCGTTGCAATGTCTGCGATTGAAACAGCGAGCGAAGTCTCCACAGCTTGTGAAACATCGTGTCAAACTATGCTTCATACCCGATAACTGACCAACTGCTAATGTCGAGAAGGACTTATGCGGGATAAAGCGGGGTCAAGGGTTTGGTCCAACGTGGTCGGGGCAAAGAAACTTTCGTTTCAAGAAATGGGACTACTAGATGGTCATGTGACTTCTTCTGTTCAACGAGAAACGAAGACGGTGTTTCTTATCGCCAGGAACTTTTTAGTCTCAGAGCTCAGACCCACATCCCTACCAAAGGTCATACTTGATGTGTTGAATTTTGGACTATGCTACGATCGACTCGATACAACACATTAGCACGCTTTTAAATGAGAATGATTCACTTGGGAATTCGTGGGATACGGAGAGGTGTAAACTGATCTTCCGTTAGACTTTGTCACTCCCGGTTTTCCAGATGTTAACCCGAGTAGTCTGCGAGCGAGGCGAAATTTCTGCCACTTGAGATGTTATGGACAAGCGGAAGGAACGGATGGATGAACTGGATGGCTCCGGATCTCTGGAGCCAACGTGTAAAGGTACAAGGGATGTCTTCAGTCATTACTGCTTTCCATCAAGCATAGAATGAAAAAACCTCGCGTTGCATGTTGCCTACGGAGCTGCGAAATACACATTCAGGTTCTCCTTAACTTGGGTAGTGAAGGGTAAGTAGATAGACATCCCCCTAGAGAAAACCAAGCAACTTGAATATCCAATTATTTCACAAACGTAACACGCTACTCATAAAGTCGCTGAAAACTCCCTGACAGCCAATTATTGCCTGTTCATAATTGAATCTGTTTAGTTCGATTTTCGAACCATGAACAGGCAACCACAATCAGATGCAACTGTGTTATTTCATTTTTTTCACTTTGATGGATCAACGTGTGCCTCTTTGTCGCTGATAAGATGGGGCGAAAAAACGAGATGTTCGATACAACTCAGTGTTTTCTACTAAAAATCAACATATTTACCATGATGCCGTGATAAGTAATGCAAGAATGTAGACGTTTTTTCTCATCGGGTCAAACAGACCGGTGATATCAAATCTGGGCGAAAAAACGAGATGCTCGATACAACTCAGCGTTTTGTACTAAAAAACAACATATTTACAAAGATGCCCTGATAAGTGATGCAAGAATGTAGACGTTTTTTCTCTTCGGGTCAAACAGACCGGTGATATCAAATCGGAATTTTGTCCGGCATTGATTGTTCCAGTTGGTCTGGTCACGAATGTGCGCAAATCAGACTGAATACGCAACGCGGCGAGAAAAGGTGGTGACCAGTGTTCTGGCACTCTCGGTGACAGTCAAACGTTATTTGGCCATCGCATATTGTCTGCTACTGATGAGCCCTGATAGGAGTGAAACTCGAATCCTGCGCTTCCCCCTACTGTGGTGTGCACTCACCAGGGCAGGGTGAGGACCGTTCAAACGAAAGTGGCATAAATGTGAGTTCTATAACCTCCTACAACTAATCAAACACTGTCCACCAGGTTTCAAGCTTCCGTGGAACTGCCATCAATCGACCCAACAAGGGTTGCCGTTCATGATGTCGGGCAAACCAAACGGATCGCTCACATATCAACACGGCCGGCTGTATAGACGTGGTAATTCACGCTCGTTCAGCCTGAGCTGGATGAGCCATGGTAGCGCGCTCGCCTCACGTGTTAGATGTCTGGCGATGCACCGTCGCCACTGCTGATGAGCTCCAATAAGAGTGAAGCTCGAATCCAGGTCTTTCCCTTTTTTAGATGGGGACTCACTACAGCAACTGCGCTAGGACGGAGAAGGGCTGTTCAAACTTGCTGTTAGCGACAATGGGTGTCTTGAAATGTGGTTCTTCACACACAGTTTACCCTGGTGCTGAGCACACGCCAAAATTGCTCTCCAAATGCCCGGAACCCAAAGAGTGAAACTAGTAGAAGAAATCGAACTGAAAAGAACCGACCTTCCGGCGCTACGATTGGCAATAATTACATCACACATTCCGTTGTTTTAGCGTTTACAGGGCTCGAAATGGCGCTTCGCTCAAAAAGCCTTTTACCAGGGCGTGTTTGGATAGTCTATACTCTCCCTGTGGGACATTTTGCGCCCAGTTAAGGGAGGAAAGCCTTGTGCTGCGGAGTCACGTGACAGCAACGACTAACCCAGCAGTTACAAGCTATTAGACACGAAAGTAAATATCTCATAGACACGTAGTTTTCAAAGACTGAAGTTCTCATGCGTCCTCCGAACTTTCCTGGATAATCACTGACTATTACAAATAGTAAACGAACACTGCAAGACAGTTCCATAATTTCCGTAATAGACCTCACCTTCCATCAGCTGGGAGGGGCGTAGCTTGGACACCAAACCATAGACTACTCGAGTGCCTCATCAGTAGCATATGTATAGATGACCTCGAAGCCGCGGACGAGATTCCACCGTGTAAGCGAAGTCAGTCTGTGCTGAAGTTGCATAAGTCTTTCAGCATAGTCGTCGACCTCGTGATTGGAGGATGGATGACGTTTCTAAGTGTAAGTAATCATACCGCCGATGGAGCCAGCTCACCCGAATGCTGAAATCTTCGTTGACTAACAAGAAAGGTTACTCATCACGGCTTCCAGACAACCAGCCCAGCATTTTAACAAATCTACGAAAAGATAAAAATACGAATAGGTATAGAAAGTGAATTTAAGCCAAACTGGCTCAAGTGTATAGATAGGTTGCATCTGCGAGAGTTCACACCAGGTAAAGAAGGACGAAATCTTGAGTCGATCCAAATCGGGGCTGTGGAGTCTGGATGGGCGGGGCTCCTGACGTGCACGGATCTACTTCAGCGATCCTTAGAGGATGCTTGGGAGGGGAGTTTTGTGTCGATCATGTAGGAAGGATAGCATGTAGAAGAATCGTGTAGCAATGTGTTCATAAGATCCGAACTAAATGTCCTCGTATCTCCATATGCATCCGCAAACTTCTCACGTCTGTATGACTGTACATGCCATAATAAGATCCTTGCTTTTGAGCGTCGGACTCATCATGCTTGCATACAGATGACTCGCTAGACTGTCGGATTTTCCCAAGATGGTAAATCACAAGTGCGGTTTTTGAAACTTAACCGATGGTCGTCATAAACTGCCATCATCGTCGTCATCATCAGCTGTAAGAACCGCATGCATGCTGCACGGTGGTTATAGCTGCCACAGTTTCATTCGCCGGTGATTTGGGGTAGATACCTACGCAACGGTAGGTGATATAACTGACGCGTAGAAATCACGGTTGCCAGTGGACTTGTCTGGAGAGAAGATTGGGAGGGGAGCTAGACATCCAAAGCAACAGTTTGCACGCACGAGCATCATTGAGGGCGCGACTGCGCCATATCTGGCAGTGCCCAATCTCGGGGTCTCCATCCAAGGAGATGGCAATGACCACGGCAACTGAGTTTACTGGTAATGGCTTTCATACTTCGCTGCCAAGTCATCGTTTGACCTCCCCTGGTTCCGTTCATGTTACTTCGTCTTCCGACGGGCAATCAAGGTTTACATTCAATTCGCCCGTGTGCATAATCTCCACAGGCTGTGTTGCAGAAGGCCAGCTGAACTGTTCCTCGAAGTGTTCGGCCCATATTTCCAGTCAACGTTTTTGCGAGGGAATTAATGAGCCGCCTTTCTCACTTATCATTTCGCGGACCGTTGCTTTCCTGGAGCTAGTCGCGTTTATCAGTTGATACAGAGCACCGCTGTTTCCAGTAGCAAAAGGATTCCCCATCTCCCAAGCTTCTAATGTCCACCAAAGCTCTCGGTCTTTCCTTGCGGCGGTCTGAAGGCTTGTGCGCCCCACGGTTTGATTGGAATCAAATTGTGTGCCCCAGAAGGAACGGTAGTCTTGAATTGTGGCTGTCCACCGGTGACTGATGGTCACGTGACCTGACTTGATTGACGAATGATTTTCGGCTGCTAGCCATCAGGTTACGCGATGCGAACGTTCACGCTGAAAGTTGGCCAGAAACAGGTACTCATCAGCATGCAACTGGAAAAGACGTTCTCCATTGTCAGTGCGATGAGCGTCGACTCCAAATCGACCGCCCAAGTGGGATTCCAAGGAGCTCAGCCGACCAACTTTGGCATTCACATCGCCCGCAAGTATCCAAATTGACAGTGCTTCTTGCACGACGAATGAGCCTGGCTAGCTCTCGATAGAGAGTCAACGTCAGAACCGCGTTTGGCTGGGAAACAAACCAGCATCAAAAACAAGCAACATTTTTTATGCCGGGAGGCACTGAACTTGATTGAGCTGCGTAGCCGGACGGCGCAAAGACGACTATTCACTGAGATCCAATCCAGCAAAGCGCGTTCAGCTCTGGGGCTGAGTGCAACTCCCACGCCATATATTCCACGAGTCATCGCTTCTGGGTCACTGGACACACGGAGAAAGAGCTGAGTTCATCCTTGGTGTTCTGAGATGCAGAACCACGCTCGGGTCTTGTATGCGCGTTTCGGAGACACAGTATACATCAATTTTAATGGAGTACAAACTTTCAGCGATCATCGCCTGTTTGCAAATTTGACACAGAGTGCGGACGTTAAATGTCCCTATGTAGGCAGCATCTCGTGGATTTAGAAAGTTGCCGTTTTGTTTATTGGTAATGCGTAGCGGGGAGCATTAGGCCCGTCCATCAGATAGCTGACAGTCAAATAACCCAGCAGCATCGGACTCTTTGGTTTTAAGAGTAATTTGACCGGAATAAATAACTCGCCAGCGGTCAAAGTCGACCGTTGGACGATCGGAATGTGTGGTTATTAGGGCCGTCCTTCCTCGGGGGAAGGCAACATCACTGCTTCCACGAATATGGACATGCTGGTCGCCTGGGGGAAACACCTTACTGCCTTCACACTCCTATCGCAGAGGACAGTACGAGTTTACTCCAAGATCGCAGTACGGGGTCTCACTGCTCTTAGACTGACTGCGCTCCTTTGGTCTTTCTGGCGTCGTTGCACCTTGTGGAACAGTGTCGCCGCTGGACCATCGCAGCACTCAAGTCTGATTACCACGTCAAAGCGGGAGGTTTATTTTGGGTGATAAACACCTCCAGAGGCTTGCAGTTTGAGTTGCCAGGTTGTCTGTTCTGTCTAACTTCCTTCCTACCTGATACCTTTCGGCATACATCGTTCTGAATTTCGTCGTGGTAGCATCCCTAATTGATGAAGCGAGTTGTTTACACAACTGTTACCACGGGAAACCGCAGCCACTTGCAAGGTTTCGAACCCCAGCCGTCATAACTGGATGTACATTCGGTATTGTCGAGTTTCCGGGGGACTTCATCATTTCGGCGGGCCAAACTAGTAACAGATGCCAACCTACCATCATAACTTAAATCTGACAACCAGTCTAATGTCCTTTCTGTGTCGTGGCCACGGTTCGCGGTACGACAGCGTGACACATTGCGACCTTGGTGTGTGGTTGTTCCAAGAGGGCAAGATGGTCCAAGTGGTTAGAGCTCGAATTTACTGACCGGAAGGTCCGTAGTTCGAACCCGAACTCTGGCTATCGACTTCCCCTGTCTAGGCTTGGAAATCCTGGCAATATCCCAGCCCTCGTGCTTCCTTCTGGTGGCATGGCAGTCAGGCACCGAAAAGATGCTACAGCTGAAAGGTTGTTCCAATTGCTTACACACAGCTGGCGATCGATATTTACCATAATAATTAACAATAATGATAAGCAATAATAGTTATTATTATTATCATTATTATATTGTTATGCTTTTCAATATTTACAGTAGATTCTCTCCCCCGCAATCCAGTCCATCTTCAACATTTCTAAAGCATGCATGTTTGAAAAATCAGTCGAAACTTCAGGAAACACGAATGCCGCATTTGGACATGAGGATGCGTCACGATGAACACTGTTCACAGATACTACTGATGTTTCTGTTCTGTCGCTTTCGGTCATCAACACCCCCAAAAGATTTCGACTTCAGTCGTCCGTCTGCCGTACACTTTACTCGTTCTTCCCTCAATCTTTAGTGTCAGAACTCGCTCGTGGCGGTTTTGACAGTTTCTTCGAGTTATCGATCGGCCAGATTGCAGGCTAAGCTTGATACGGACACACGCCGTTTGCCGGTGGATTGTGGAAAACGTATACGTGCGCGGAGAAGCGCGCGCGCGCGCGAGTGCGCACACGTGCACGGGGTAGAGGGACAGACAAGCTCCTGCGGCGGTCGATGTATCACACTGGCAGTTAGAATTTCGGTTTAAGGTCTTTCGCCGCAGCTCGATTATCACACCCTGTCCTGGATCTTGTCTAACAACTATGAAAGCCGATACAAGCTTGATGAGCTGGCCCCCAGTCATGTGAACATGTTCGGTCACCGTGACATGGCAAGGAGGTTTCTGCTGTTTATTGTGTCAGTGGCAATCTGCTTAAGGCCAAGTAAGTCCAATGCTGTAAGCAATCAATAGTAATTTATTACTTTAATTTGCCTTGTTAGCATCGATGCTGTTGCCTGAAAATCGACAATGACCTTCATCGTTTTCGTCAAGATACATTAAATCGGCTGACTAGTGTCTAGGTTAAAACCGCATTGCAGGAAGAGGGCAATTTCAGCTTCTCTTGAACTTCCTTCGGCTGAATACCGAATTTTGTCACTAAAAGAGGGTAACAGGTGGGGCGTTTGAGTATTTATGGTATTTATCACAGCAGACAATTACGGTAGTCCCCCCCCCACGATGGTGCACCTCCCTACAGCGACCAGTCCTTAAGAGGGGCCATTTTAAACTGGTTCTGTCGTTGAACACTGTCTATTTTATCCATTCAATGATCAGCCTACGCAACTTTCATTAATTCTTCTTGAATTCAGTCACAAGTATGGGCAGAACGAGGCCTCCATGCACTGCGGATAGTGGTGGGTCGGTCACAAATTGGATCATTTATACATTTCGCGGGTGTTTCACCTTTCCAGGTTTACTTCAGAACTCTCATTTGACATAAATATATAAATTTTCGTGCATATTCTCATCGTAGAAATGTTCCCTCCACCACAACTTATTTAGTACGTTGGTTGGTAGCTCAACTAGCGTTGGTTTGTTCGCTTAGCTGGCCAAGTTAATTGCAGACGTTTCATCCTCAATCTATATGACATCGTTAGTGCATTTTCAGGGAGTGCAATGGAGCGTAGCGATGGGTTGTGCTTTGAGTAGTGTTGTTTATGTGTTAATATACGTGCGGCTAGCCGGGACTGACCTTCGATAAGGATTGGTTGCTTGGTTGGTCTGTTCCATTGGCTGTTCCGTCACCCTGCGTCCTAATTGGTCGATAACCAAGTGAGCTCGGCCTCCCCAACAATCGTAGCGTGGTAGGTGCTAGAGTGACCTCTGTCAATGATTTTCCTGGATTCCACTTTGTGAGTTATGCTGATCTGACTCCAAAGAGTTTCATATTTTTGGTTTTTGATCCGGTATTCGGCTCACTATGAGTATTCCGGCTATGGTTTACTAAATACCGCTCACGTTAACCTCATGCTAGGCCAGGAACAATATACTTTGAATGACTGATATATGAAAACTATAGCCGAACTGGGTGTTCCTCAAAAAACTGGCCGAGTGACCGCATGAAGCAGATTGTACCCTACCATAACGACGAATGGGATTCAACTGGCCATGAATGTATTGAAAATACCTGGCGGCTGACCACTTACTCGTTTGTTTTGGAAGGATGCTATACACCGAGAGCCCGTGTTAGAGAGATCCATAAGGATTGGTTTGGATCGCTCTCTTCTTAGAAGTGCACTCTTCCGTTGACAAAGTGCAATTTTCTCATACATCTGAGGCGGATGCTAACTGGTGAGACGGGGAATTCAACGTGGAGTTGTTTTTTATAAATCGGAATGAACGGTAAGGTCGGAGAAACCATCCGTGCATCGATGGCTTTTCCGAGCGGGGTTAAAATTACTGCGCACCGTAATCCTGGAGAAAGCAACTATTCTAAGAGCACTCCCGAGGTTTCCAGGGCAATCGGAGCTAAAAGGTATCTCCTATCCGGTTCAGCCGAGGTTTTTGGGCGGAAAAACACGTAATTGAAATGAAGAATTTCATAGAATCTCCATCATAATTAAACGAACCCGCAGGCTTGGATAGAAATCGCGCAACATTACTTTCATGGACTCGATGATCCCTGTCGCCAGTGTTTTCACTGAGGAAGTAACACACACTCTCTAGTGGGTTGTTGGTGTGGGCATGTCTAACATCCGAATCGATGGTCTTCGAATAGATAAGAGTTACCGTCACCCTTACTCAACAGCCAGGACATGCGATGGCATATGCAACAGTAGCGCTCTTTACACGTGAATGACCCGACTGGTTGCTTTCCAAGAGCACCTCTGTTTCATACCGCCAGACATTTCGTGCTCTTTCACGTTGCTTCTCAAGCTAACCGACGTGACCTCTAGCCTGTCATAGTTGTCTCCAAACTCACCTATGTATATTAATCATTACCGAGTTGGATACCTGAGCTCAGATAAAATCCAGGTTATTTTAACAGTCTATGTCGAAACCAAAGAGCATTGATTGGCGCCTCTGCCGCAACCCGATTCCCACAAACTGTTCTAAAGACACTCCATCACACCTGGAGAAAAGTCTGAAAATGTTACAAGGGGTGGACGAGTTCGATCTCGTTTCGTTTCAGAAGGGAACTTGAGATGACGTTCCGGCCAGTAGTTCAGGGCGTCGAACCTCCGGTAACAATGCCTACCTGATAGTCCTCAAGAAAGAGGACACCGGAAGTGGACTGTCCGCCGAACTGTCTAATACTACCTGTGAAAGGAAAGATGCGTTCGAAGGCGGATTTGCGAAACAATAACAGGGCCGTTAGCAAAAACATCATTGGTCAATCTTTGATCAGAGATTGAGACAGTAGTGAGATAGTGGTCTTATGGTCAATCGCAAGCGCACGTAGTTACCACTTGCAATTCAAGGCGAGCCACCGGAGATTGTGGAAAACTTTACATACTTTACATACTTTACATACGTACTTTACATACTTTACAACTTTACATAGTTGTATCAACTCCGACTGAATCACGCTTGCTAATTTGCGTTCACTGTGGCGTCAAAAATGCATATCACTGGGTTTCAAAGGTCACATGCACCGGGAAACACTAAGTGCTGTGATGTTGTTTGGTTGCAAGACCTGGATTGCACGAACAGGTGATGTGAGGCATCCGCAGTTTTTTTACCACAGTGCGTCAGAACCGTTGCTGGTGTCCGGTGGTATCAACAAATTGATAACGAGGTAATTAAGAGCGAAACGCCTCAAGTGGCTAGAGCGCGAATTTACTAACCGCAAGGTTCGTGGTTCGAATCCAACCTCTGCCTCTCGAATTACCCTGTCTAGGCTTGGGTAACCTGGCAATATCCCAGCTCTCTTGCCTCCTTCGGGTGGCATGGCAGTTAGGTGTTACAGCTGAACAAACGAACGAACGAACGTTTGTGCAATATGTATTTCAGGTAGGGAAAAACATCCATCATCTTCGACGACTCAGTCATGTACTACGCATGCCGAAACATCATCTACCGAGACGAGTATTGTTCTCCGTGTCCACTTCAGACTGGCGGGAACGGAAAGATGCACACCAAATGATTTGGCAGAATGACATGAAAAAGATTACAAAAAGTTTGAGTGTTGTTGGTGCAGTATGCCCTCCAGGATGATGTCTCCATGACCTCTCCTGCGCTTGGCTGGAGACACTGCAAGAACTGGTGGCTCCTTGATGTCAGTAGCATTAATGTTGTCAGTTTCTTCCAAAAATATCTGATTGCTCGTTTTGGGCTGTTGTGAATTGCTGAGCGTTCATGAAACTCTGTATCGGTTTTCGGCTTACTGCTCCGCCGACTATGGTATATCAAAAGGCACGGTAGCCTCAGACAGCCTTTAACGGAGACAAGAGAAAATTATTACAACTGTATTTATAGGTAATCATAGAATGTTCCATAAGGTCACGCCACAATATCCGGGAGGGGGCGGGAAGCGTGGAGCTGAAAATGCTCGATCCAGATTGGCTGGCATTCTGACCAATCAGGACGTGCCTTTATTTGGTCTGTAGCCTGCACGTGACAAGTCCATCCAAATGATGTGATGTTCGGTTATTAGGGGCTACTAGCCTCCGGACAGATGTATGGGCACCTCAGAACACTCGTGATAGGCCAACGTCGGGTTCCACCATATTTTATATTGTTTCCAAGCCTAATTAGATAAAATTTATGGTTTTACCGAAGGGAAGGATCAGTGTTGACACTGATATTGCCCTCTCTGATAATGACATTTTTGCCCCACTCACAGTGTTATTTTCCACTCCGGTTACAGTCCGTGCTGGAATGCATGAGAAACGGTTACTGGCTCACTTGTTCAACCAGACCAGGTGGGATGCGCATAACCCAATGGAACGTCCGAGCGCGATCGATGGCAAACCACTCCAAGTCTACTTGAAGTGCTATTTGAACCAAATTATGGACATGGTAAGCCTTTCGAAATAAAGTGCGTCTACCTCATGAACCCCATCCGAACGAGGCCGTTAACAGGCTGTCGGAAACTTTGCTACTCTCAAGTTTATAAGTAGTTTCGTATCCGCTATGAATAAAGTTTGGTTGAGTGAATTGTGGAGCGTAATTGGCTTCAAGTTTTAGACTTACACAGGAGATTAGGGAAATAGAGTTATTCTAGCAAGAAGAAACAAATTCAGCCGTTGATGCCATAATCTGCAGAGATAAACCTCAGCTGCAATTGTCCGTAAAATAATCAGTCTAAATATCCAAACGGCTTCAAGCTTCTGTTTTGTGTGTGATCAGTAAGTTTGCGGAACATTAAAGTCCAATAGAAAGCCACTAGTGGGCTGGTGAGATGGTTCAGTGATTAGAGTGCGAATTTACTCAACGAAAGGTCCGTGGTTCGAACCCGACCTCTGTCTCTCGAATTTCCCCTGTCTAGGCTTGAGCAACCTGGCAGTATCCCAGCCCTCGTGGTTCCTTCAGGTAGTGCGGCAGCTAGGCACCGAAAGAGTGCTACAGCTGAACGATTACCTCATTATCTGGCATCCGTTTCTGAAATAGCCGCTACATAAAACTTTGAACTTTCAACGAATAGTTCACCCTGAAAATTAATCCATTCTAGCAGCCAAGACGTACGGTGTAAATGTCTCCTCCTTGGTGAGAATCGTCAGCGGTGGACACCTCAGAGGCATCTTCTGCATACTACAGTTGCCTTCTCGAACGGTGGCGAAACGTATGGAAGTCATTTACCATCATCGGCGAACAGACCCGATCAAGTACCACTCATACTCTTCTGTTTGGTTATACTTTTTAAAATTTTCTATAATGATGCACTCTGACGGTTTATAGTGCTGGAATAGGAGTGCAGGAGAGGCAATTTATTCGTTCACGATAGAAAGCCGGTTTGAAAAGGGACAAAATTTCAACGCCCTTGAATAACGAGTGCCCAGAGAAGTTCAGTATGGTGTGATTTCTTGAAGAATCATTTTGAAACAAGGCATACTCCGCATTTGTTGTCCCTATTTTTCTTGCAGGATGAAAAGAACCAGGTTTTATCGACGATAATTTGGTTGGACTTGGTGAGTTGATTTTCTGTTCACTCTAGGTGAACATCAAGGTGACCAGAATCGCTATCTACTGTGTCTTTCACCTTACAATGTGTCCTTTTATGACGCCTTGTAGAGAGCCTTCCATAAAGGACACGAGAAAGATTCCTGTTTCTGGTGTTTTTTTCCACACTTTTCTTCATGTTTCTCCATTTTCGTAATCATCAGTTCAAGTCTACTTCGCCGAATAAGAACAAACTGTTACCGCTTGATTTCTCAGAAACAAAATGGTTTGTTTCTAGATATATTTTTCCGCAGATTCATTCGCTGCGCTATGGTAACGGTCTCCCGTATGTCACCATTAGGAGAACCAGCTCCGAACGTAGCGGGCCCACGTAAAAGCCAATGGAATAACCGTTTTCGTTGAGACAGATTTCATTGGTTGTTCTTCACTCGTCCTTGACAGATGAGTTGTGTTCTTAGTATCGCTTTTTTGACCCACTTGTACGCGATAGTGATCAGTAGATCAGCCGGTTCGCACGTTCACAGACTTTCTCTGGTTTGGTCAAGCACATCAGGCTATCAATCGGCTATCCAGACCGGGGTTCACGGTAGTAAAAAGGCATGAAAGAGACTGTGGTACACAACCGCTACCTACACACTTGAATGCCTCTAGAAACGTTACAGAGCCTATTGTCAGCTCCTTCCTAAAAGGTGCAAATGTTACCAGATATTTACATAATTCTCCGTTCCTCTCAACTATAATCCAAATTTTTGTAGGGGAAAGTGGAAGGTTTTAGGCGCACTCGCTTACTCATTCTACTATCATTACTATTTTTAGAAGTAGAGTATGGTTATTTCGATATAGCGGATGAATACGCAGTTCGTCCTGATGGGATCTCACCTTGCAACACGACCAGCTGGATCGGTCGGGTACCGTTTTGGTCAACAGCTCGCCAGGGCATCACGCAGTCACTAACTGCCCTCTCGAGCAAAGTCGTCATGGATTAGGGTGATGTCGTGCGCGTTCTCAGGCAATGAATTCGACTACTTGAGAGCAGTCAAGTGGGTTTCTAACGTTCCTTGACCTTCATCAATGGCTTAAGGAATACCTACATAATAAGACTTCGGTCTGAATCAGCGGTGTGTACTTTGAATAACTGATTAGTCAGCTAACATCTTTAAATCCGAGTCTCATTTGCGTGGTGTTTGCTATTTGCCCGAGATGCTGTGTCTGCGGGGTATTTTTCTCATCAAGCCTACTTACATTTGACTTCAGTAGTGAAATACTCCATCCTCCTTTCGTTCATATAATCTAAAGCCTGTGAGGAAATTACTATCGATTCTAATCGGGCAACTGGTTCAGAGAGAGTTGGGTCTTACAAACAGGGTTGTGATTGGTGCATTACAATGAGCGGTCTGAATGGACAGCTTGCTATCCAATGAGGATGTTGAACCCTTTGCATTTGTCGGTATCGTGTGCGCTTCAGGCGGTTCGTGACACGTGATCAAGGCGCCTGGAGAACAAGGCAATCACGCGACTCACAAATTCTTTCACTGTGCCTGATTAAAGTGTCACTAAATCACGTCCATCGCCTGCAGCTTTTCGGTGTCCGGTGGATTAGCCTTGGTCAGAATGAAACCATCGTCCCCTTCTGGCTACAGGCCGATGGGTGAATAGCTCCGTCGAATTGATTCGATGGTTTGCATCGATCAAATGAACCGCACTGTGATCGTGAACGATTTCGGACTTGTCTGACTTCAATGCTAGGTGGGAGGTTCCCAGAGGATAGTTGAAATTTGACTGATGGGCTGAGCACCTCAACTTCTGGGGTTCATCCGTGAGGTGGGATCAATCCTACAGAATGGCTGGTAAACATTCATAAAATATATGGAACGGTAACTATTCAATACCACCAGGTTTCCTGGAAGAGTCTGGCACTGATTTCTATCACTACACGCCAGTGGCCCAGCTTTGATAAAGTGTTATAGCGAAGACGAGAAATGAAGGTATGTGCGCAGATTAGGAAAGGAATGTTATTAGAATCAAACCACCCTACTGCGATCAACGAGGGATAACGCGAAACGAGGACAAACGACCTAGGTCGGTGGCATCCGGTCGTTCCCTAAGGACTTAAAATCACCTCAGTTTGGGGCAATACTCATTCCTTTTGTTCAGGAAAGGAGAGAAGCATAACCATCTTCACCAGGTGGGGAAAACTTATCGTTTAAGAAGCACGAAGGAAATTTGATTGGAATCATATAAGCCGGATATGTTATGTGAGGTGTCGTCGTACACAAGCCCCTTTTTGTCTGGCCTGCGAGTTCACAAGAAAATATTGGACCGACCAGCGACCAAAAGAGTCTGGAAGCAGAGAAAATCGAAGAGTAAAGTACATCAGGTCAGCTGCTTGCCACTCATCCAATTTCCCAAGAAATTAGTCACAAAATATTGGACGACCAGCGACCAAAAGAGTCTGGAAGCAGAGAAAATCGAAGAGTAAAGTACATCAGGTCAGCTGCTTGCCACTCATCCAATTTCCCAAGAAATTAGTCACATTGGCTGAGAAAGACAGAAAGTCACTGCTTTCTGAAAGATCTCACTTCACCTCACGTGACTTTTTAGTGGACAGTGTTGTCTAAAAGGGGTGTCGTGCAATCTTTTAAGTCATTAAGGTTGCTAACATTACAAACATCTTACACTGACAAAATATTTGTTTTGCTCTCTTTGGCCACGACATTCCCTGCTGTGGGGCCCAGTCTTTGCCAATCACATTCCATCCGAACTATTCGAGTGGTTGAGCCCCGGGATAGTTCAGTGGCTAAGGTGTGAACCAACTGACCACGAAGTCCGTGGTTCGAACCCAACCTCCGCATCGCGACGGCTCTTGTCTAGGTTTGGGCAACTTGACAGTAGCTCGGTCCTCGTGCTTAATTCGGATGGTGTGACAGCTAGGAATCAAAACTGTATCACAGCTAAACGATTACTGTCATCTGTCATGGCGGTTTGGCTGTCATCGCACACGGAGCATGGTCACTCCGCGATTCACACCGTGTGCGGTTTCAGACCAAGTGCTTGTTTTCGCCGATACGATTGGCAAAACATCAGATGATTCCACCGCGAAACCATTGTTTTCTCACACTGCCGCTGACCTTAATCGTAACAGGTTGGTTAGACTGGAGGAGCAGGTTTCTAGTTTTAGTGTACACACAAATAGGTATAAACAACAAGCACGGTGGGTGGGCACCGTAGAATTTGTGGACCATTTTGACGTGAATCATGAGCAGTAGGTGTAATCTTGGCGGAAAACCACTAATGATGGAGTTTTGGACCTGTTTTGCAACGAATAACATATACGCCTAGTTCAATATGTTCGTATATGAAACGAAACTATTGCTCAGAAGCTACAGTGCAATGGAGCGCTCTAAACCGACTGTGTTTGGATAATCACGCAGGAATTTTATGGGGAAAAATCGCCAACTGACAGGTCTTTCTAGAGGACACTGAGCCTTGATAGCGAGTGGTTCATCAGAACTAAACGCTACGTTTTTCTTTTTGACGCGAGACAGAAGGGTTCAAAACATAAAAAAAGATTTTTTTCTACTTGAGACTGCCTTTGGAGAAATGAAAGTAAACCACGAGGATATTTGAGCAGAGATGACAACTGAAACCACTGTGTTTGCTGGTAAGTGGTCCAGATGCATGGAGGCCTCAGATTCTGGCCAAATTTTCACTCGAGATTTTGTTCCTTAAGTGATGCTAATCTATGCTGGAAAGCCGAGAAGTCCTATGCAGCTGCTTCCTCCCTATCAACGGCAGCGCGCACCTCACGAAACTAAGAGTTCCGAACGCGCAAGCTTCCAGTCAGTAACCGAACACAATCAGTGGCAGATGCGCAACGTGATTAGCTCTCAGTTAGACCGAACATAGCGCCGTTCATCCTTCAATAACGGGAACCCCATGACGTAGTCACGTGTTGACTGGCTCCTCTAGTGACGATTACTCACCCACCCATCTCGTGAAATAACTCTTAGGTGCTACTTTTAGAGTGACAGTAGTGGGAAATTTATCAATTTTCGGTGGAAATTTCATCCTTCTAGCGAAGCTCATTCATGCTGAAAAGCCGAGAAGCACTGTAAAACTGCTTCGCCTTCATTGTGAATCCTCAGCAGTGCATGTCTCACGAATAGCCCAACAGATTCGAACCCGCCACTCCCTTGCTACTAGATGCTGGCTAAACCTTTCGACCCTGATATGAGGATAACCGTTCAAAATGATACCGAATGATTGCGGGCGACGTTGCACTCCTCGAACAACAGCAAGGGAATCCGAACAAGACTCATCTTCAACTGAATTTCCTGTGCAAAGCCGCTTCATGAGCACGGTATTCTAGACACTGCAATACATTTTCTAGACAGAACACCATTCATATGGTTGTTGGAAGCCCTGGATACATATTAGGCAGGAACAGTCCGCAAATTTCCGTCAACATTGTGGTCCACTTAAACTCAAATTGTACAGAATTAGCGAAATACGCTTGTTTCCAAATAACCTTTGATTACGTTGGTGACTGTGCCTACCTGGCGACCCCACGAAGTGCGATGACATTCTAGGGCTTTTCAGCAATCTTGTGAGTAGTTGTTAATCAACAAAAGCGGTTATGGCCTTTAAAGAGTACGGTCGCCAAAGTTCCAAGTTATATTCAGGTTTCAATTGAAAAACCACCGTGGTGAGAGGGGGGCAGTTTCGGGGACAAGACAAATGACTAATAACCCTCTGAACTCACGACCGCAACACCCATGGCGATGCTTTTTCCGACAGGTAGTTGAGGTCACACCCTTTCTTTGAAAGGACCTTGGCCTGCCATATACAGGGGATCACAAGTCATACCTCAACCCTAGCCACCTGTCTCTGAAACCCAACGTGAGTGAGCATGCTGACTCAGCGTTCGTCTTTCTTGAACAACGGTCCATTTAATCTTCTGCATTTTTTATCCGTCCTGTATCGCTTACTTTGTTGTCACGGTTTTTTTTGTTGCTTTGGTTAGAAATGGACGGACTATCATTTCAAATGGGACAGCAATGAGTATGGGAACGTCCGTCAAGTCAATCTTCCCCCGAATCGGATCTGGAAACCGGATCTACTTTTGTACAACAGGTATTGTCTCTGTAGTCATCCGTTTGTACGCCCATGTCCTGAGGTCGAGATGGGTGCGAATTTACCGACCGGAAGGTCCGTGGTTCGAACCCGAACTCTGCCTCTGGACTTCTCCTGTCTAGGCATGGGTAACCTGGCAGTATCCCAGCCCTCGTGCTTCCCTCGGGTGACATGGCAGCTAGGCACCGAAAGGGTGCTACAGCTGAACGATTATGATTTGTTATTTTACTGTGATTTTGTCCATTAGTTTCATTGTAAAGACTGAGGGGCGAAGTGCTTCTGTTTATGGGGAAGAGACCGTCTCAAGGTGATATCGCTTGTCAGCATAAACTCCCGGGGAGTTTGCGTTACCTCTTGGTTTACTCGAGCACAAAATGTTCACCGAAAATGCAAGTATTATTCACCTCTCTCGGGCACGATTTCCTAAGTAACCCCATAGACTCACAATGCATCTGAAGTCGACGATGGTTCTCCTCGTTACTCGTCTGCGTGCTGTTTCTGAAAACGTGAGTTTGAGCGAAAAGTTTCGACTATCAGTAGTCATCCGGGAGGTGAATCGCAAAATAGAACGATAATCTCACGGTTTGTAAAGTAAACTGAGACCAGTGATTAGCTGAGTTAGACAGATCTGGAGGTTGGCTTTTAGGCCATATGAAAGTTGGTCGTATTTTTACGAGGACTTTAGGGTGTGTTGGGTTGATTACTTCATCTGATTACTTCATCAGTGGTCGTCTGCTACACTGCTGCGTCAGATAATTTGTACTTTTGACTCAGTACAAAAACATGTCTATCATTCATCTGCTTCTATAAGCAATGGTACCAGTTGTTGTCAGATATCCAATCAACTCGGCTAGCCAGTTCAACTGGAACCCAGCTGAATCTCCCGTTTATGATGCTTTAAAGCAGGACATAATATTGACGGAAACTCGGAGGCAGCACCTACCTGATGAGCCCCAGGAACGGCGAAACCACTCGTGGGCTGTCAAAACGTTTTCAGCAACCTTATGAGTAGTGCATTATGCGTATACAACTGGATTTTGTCTATATATCCTGGATAACAGTTGCTCTGGCCACTGGACCGTGACATGTCGGTGCGTGTGAGCGGAAATTGGCCTCTGAAGTAACCTGTATATGATTATATGGCGCACCTAGCTAGCGTACCAGCTTCTGTATGGTCAGACCAGTTCACCATTGGCTCCATGACTGCGGTCCACACAAGTCAGATAGATGCTTCGGTACACAGATACTCCGAACATAACCTGAAAACGGATCAGCTTGTGTGTGCACCCTCAAGGTCAGCCTGATGGTTGCACTTGTGTTCGCGTTTTTCCTTTTGCACGAGTACTTAGTGATTTATAATTCTTACAACACACCCTAAACATTTTGTCTAATATCCTGGATAACAGTTGCTCTGGCCACTGGACCGTGACATGTCGGTGCGTGTGAGCGGAAATTGGCCTCTGAAGTGACCTGTATATGTTTATATGGCGCACCTAGCTAGCGTCCCAGCTTCTGTATGGTCAGACCAGTTCACCATTGGCTCCATGACTGCGGTCCACACAAGTCAGATAGATGCTTCGGTACACAGATACTCCGAACATAACCTGAAAACGGATCAGCTTGTGTGTGCACCCTCAAGGTCAGCCTGATGGTTGCACTTGTGTTCGCGTTTTTCCTTTTGCACGAGTACCTAGTGATTTATAATTCTTACAACACACCCTAAACGTCTTCTGTCTTCCAATTTTTACTTCAACACAATCTCATAGTGCAAGTGAAAAATTTGATCAAATTTTCCCAACAAATGTGATTGTGCAAAATACCGGAGCGATAGCATGGATCCCACCGGGTCTGTTTCATTCGATCTGCGCTGTCAAGGTCAACTGGTTCCCGTTTGATTCCCAGGTGAGTTTTATCTGGAGCGTTTCACTTCCTCGTAGTGTATCGAACATGGTGTCAAATGGTACCAGACAGATTGTTACCGCTCAGTAAAACATTCAATTCAGCTTAATTTCAATTCCTCTTTTGATGTTTAGCTAATCTAAAGACGAATTTCGCCTAGAAATTGAACAGAAACGTTTAAATAATCAAACTGCACGGAGTTTGGTAACCCGTGAGACCTGAGTTTTCTAAATATGGCTGAATTTTACGGAGGAAATCACGAAAACGCACTTTCTTAGAGTGAACTGCAATGATGAAAACTGTTAAAAACACAGTCAACTTCATAGGCACTTTTAGTTTCATCCCTGGCTTTGGGAGTTCAAGATTGCAGCGTGAAACTGGTTTTCCCTGTCATGTTTTATGTAGCCAACTCTCTAACGTAGTTCACAAAAAATCGATGAGACGTCTGGATGCGCTGTTTAGCCTTTGTTCTCTAGCACTTGGGGGTGTACGGTTCACAGCCCGACTTTCAGCCCCGCAGCAACTCCTGCTTCATTAAACGATACTTTGGCCTATCTATTAAGCTAAAACATCCCGCTTCCCAAAGGCCACCTCATGTTTCAGTTGGCACGATATTCGAGCTGTCGCAGTATATTTTCATGAAGGGGACGGCTCACAAGTTTGTTGAAAATTCTTCGACAGCCCACGACCGATTTCGCCTTTCTTGAGGCCTATTAAATAGGCCGTTGTCTTTTGTTGGGTATTCATTTCATGAGAGCTTGGTTGACTGAATGGATTAGACATAGTCACGTTTATCGGCAGTAAGCAGATGATGTTTTTGTGCTTCGAAACAGCCGCGTAACTGAGCACCCAAGCATCTCCCTCCATTAAGTTCACTTTGAAACTGAAAGTGGCGACGCATTCCAGTTGTCCGGCCTCCTGTTGGTTAGACTATCCACGGCCTAAATTTAAAGATGTGTTCACAGAACGCCTACGAGGATTGGACAATACAAAAATTTCCGTAGCTTTGTGCCACTAAAGCAGAAACGAACCCTGATTTGCGCTTTGACGAGCTCAGCAGGGCTTATTTGCTGTGCGTACATGCTAGACTCTCAAGTGAAGCACCCTGCTAGCGTACTCCGAGTCAATGGTTACCCGTGGAAATTGACTGCCAAGAGTAGATCCAGCTGCACCTCCACGGCCCTAGTTTAATACCAACCCTTTGCTCAACTTTCTGGGTGAATACGTGGACATCCCGCTTCCCGGAACACCTTTAGACTCAAGGTGTTGGCTGAGAGATGGACCACGTCACACATAATTGATACTTGCCAGGTGATCAATCCGAACGAGTCGCTTCATGTCATCTACCGAGTGTGCAGTTGACTGCAGTATCGATCAAACGGCGTGTCTTCACTACAGCGGAAGCAGTCGCAATACGATTACGAAACTCAGCACTATGCCGTCACAAACCATCCGTACGACCGCTGAGTCTGCCTTAGTTATATCACACGAATCAATCGACCGAGTCGCTCAACGGCCCTCTAGACTGCCTCACAGCATCCAGTCCAATGCGACTTGGGCTTTGCTGACAAACAGTGGTCTGCGTCACCACGTTTCCTAATTTAACAACCAATTTTATTTGTTTATTTCATTATTCATCCCTATTTTAGCCATTAGATATAAATTGATCCGATGAGGAACTCCAGAGACCGTTGGTGTTCGTCTCTTCATCCGGGTTGGAACTATGATTGTTCGGCTAACACCCATTACAGATTTATGACACTGAGGTGAACAAAGCGATGGGTCGTTCAGATTGACTGTGGGGTAGCACTTGGAACATATTTAGAGTTGATGAGCGCTCAGACACAGCCGCACATGTCCCTCCCACAAGTTCATCCATCATTCTGACCCGGATCAACACACGTTTGTAGCACTTGGAACATGTTTAGGGTTGATGAGCACTCAGACACAGCCGAACATGTCCCTCGCACACGTTCATCGATCATTCTGACCCGGATCAACACACGTTTGCTCCCCAAACCGCTGTGACCTACTCCCATTCTTTGAGATCGTATTGTAACAATACTCAGACGATGAAGAGAGTTGCTTAAGGTTTTCAAAAACTTCCCTCGTACTCACAGACATTTTGATTCACTGTGTAAGTGCTCGTGATCTTTTCTTTCTGTGTGCGAGTGTTACATTCTGGTCTTATGCTTTTCGTACCTTGATTTGCAACAGAGTTGTATCCTCAAATTTGGAACTTGGTCGTATCAGGGCAACACAGTCGACTTGAAGTTGCAATGTGACAATGAGACAGAAGTGGACCAGGAGTGCAACCATAGGAACGAAGTGGACTTGTCCGCCTATCTAGCACATAGCGAATGGGCACTGGAAAGTGAGTCGTTTTTTCTTCTCAAATGAACTTGATAGGTTCTCGTAGTCACCCAGAATTAAGCCCGGATGTCATCTTAATTTCGACCGAAAATCTTGATTACATTTGTTGCTCGTTTGATTAACCTGTTGATCTTCACCTGTTTCCACGTTTTGTCAAACCCCAGTCCATTCAAACTTGGATTATTATTCAGTCGTATGTGAAATTATGCTGAGTTATTGTCGCTTCGAACACCGGTGTTTCACTGCATCAACTGGAATCACGTCATTGGTCAAAAATACTGCCTTAAATTTAGGCGGATAGTGATTTTGAGGAGTGATCAGCTGATCGGCCATAATAAGCAATCTGATTGGTCGGCCTACTCGATAACTGGAAGGGACTGTGCCTCCATTTCACACAAGGTGTCTTTTTGCGAACTTTTTGCTACTTCCAAGCTTGAACATGTTGTCGTATATTACTTGCTGCCGAGAAGCAGTTACCGAACGAGACCAACCATTTCTAAGTCTTGATATTACAAGAGAGGATTGAACAAAATAAACAGACGATCTTCTTCCAGGTACCTTGTGTGAAATCACGTGTTGCTGATCTTCATATGCAACTGAGCTTTGATGGCTTCGGTCAAACCCCATAACTTTCCAGGAATCTTACCTTGAGAAAATGCCTGATGCTTTCCAATAAGAAGACTTTACACGAAACTTGGGCTGTTGTAGACGGGAGACTCGATGGAGTTTCTCGCATTGAAGTGGTCCAAAGATATACAGCACACGACTGCTTCAAGATTCTTCAGTGATGGTATTCAAATGTTGAAGGTCGATCAAAATTCGACTCGAATTAAATCCGGCAGATTATATGAGACTCTTAGTTTGGCTGATTACCAGCACTTTTAGTTCAGTCCTGACTAAAAGTCATTCAACAGTCGTCGCTAACTTATTCCTTCTTTGGCGGTAGTTTGTTTACACTCGTGTTAACAGTTCCACGGGGTTTCGATAGCAATTTACATTAGGTGTTTATCCGGAAGGCCAGTTACCTGAAGGCAACCACTGAATGTCCGAAGTCTATCGAGAATCTCAGCAGCGCTAGATGTTGACCAGACAGACAACACCCCCTCAATATGCAGCGTCTTGTATCAAACCCAGACAGTGCGAGTCAGCGTTGATTAAGGTCAGACAACGCCCTCCGCAATATGCAGCATGTCACAGCCTCGCACCAAAGCCAGACATGTGCGTCAGCATTGGACCAAGTTCAGCCAGTGTCCCTCCAATAAACAAATAGCTGGGCCGTTGTACTTACGCACTCGCACACACTTGTTCGGAATATAGCTGTTGTATTCCCTTCTGTAAGTCCTTTTTTCGGCACTAGGCACTGGAGCGGGTCAGCAGTCAGATACCACAGATTGCCGAATCAGCATACATAACAGTGTTGTACTTTGACATGTGTCTGACAACTGAGTACCATCGTACCAACTATTTCCAACTCTCTATGAGGTATCAAAAAGCAAGTCCATAGGATGTAGGCCAGAATTGTAGTCACTGACGTACTCGAATGCATTCTCCGCTCCTCTTGACGACTGCTTGGACTTTGATAAGATGTAGAAAAGTCCAAGACAGCATCGTTGTTCAGTCTTGCTGCGGGCCCCTGAATACCACTCTTTGACTACTCTCAGAAGGGGCTTTTCCGAAGATGTCATCCACCGTATGTCTTCACTCACCACCTGTGTTGCTGTCGTTTCTCAAAACGTTGCTCCCTAGCCCAGGAAAGACAGCACTTTTCGGAAGGAGAGCCAAACCGCTTGGTCCAAGGGTTATTCGAATTACGCAAGGAGAAACGAATGAGGGGAAGGTGCGGCTGTGTCCCGTGAATTCGCCAAGTTTCAGTGACAGAAGTACGAGGTTCGTTTGCCTGAAAAACTAGACGGTACACTTATGATTTGCAGCGCTGGTGAATTCCTTTCTTATGGTATACATAGGACAGTGCTATTGACTCCGTCCACTGCAGCTTTATGATCTGATGACGGAACCCTTCTCTGTGCACCGACCGCCCCAGCCCCTCGATTTGTCCATCGTGCATTAATACAGGACTGCCAACACTTTGTCACCTATCCAGGAACTACCGCCAGTATTTCCTCGGTTGGTGGCGAAATGTCTGCGGATCTTTTCCAGATAAGCCCCGCCACCCAAAAAAAAGTGGGAAAAAGAGGATGTGAAATTTGTACTTTTAAATTTTATTGAAGAGGGTGAAATTGGGACATGCCATTGATAATTTGAACGAAAAGGTCCGTTTTCGGCTCCAAACAAACTCACACAAGTAGCTGTCCATCAAAGATCGGTGTGTGCCGCACTGGCATTTATTCTGCATCTTGTAGACGTGCCAAAGAGATTCGATGGTTTGTGTGTGAGCTCCAGTCGTTGGATCCATAAAGCTTTCCCTATCACTAACCGTTGGAGTCTGCGAAAGCTGCCAGGTGCAAGCTTTACGAAGAACGTTCTTCCAGTCATTAGAGGTCGTGTGGCCAATAGATAATTCCTCTGAGCAGAATTTGTCTTGCTGACACTGTCGGGCATTACACCTCTACCTGTCATAAACAGTTGAAAGTATCATTTGGTGGCCATTGTTGCATTAAACGCTGCGATGGATCACCCCGTGGCTTTGCAAAACTGTATTGGCTTCTCCTTGTCATGAACGAGAGTTGAAAGCGTCAGAAAGTTGATTTAAGGTTTTACATCCGAACGGAGAAAATTCATGTACAAAATGAGCCGAGATGCGGATAAGGAATTGTTTTCATCAAAAATAAGTCAAGGTTGTGTCCGTACATTAAATTGGAGCTGGCTGGAGTGGGGCTTGGCTTTTCGCACATGCACTTTTTGCATTAGTAGCGGGGCTTATCTGGAAAACATCCATGTTTCGAACCTATTTTCCAAGTCCGGCGAACGACCAAACAACACGACAGCGCACCTCTACCCACCTCTCGCAAAGCGACTGAAGATCAGCGCTACTCAGCTCCAGTATGTTCAAATTTTACAGTGCCGCTAGATGATAACGCCGGCCTCATTCGTTCTTAGCGAGGAGGGCAGGTGTGGTACATTGCCAACGTGACCAATCAGCTTCCCGTGGATGCCTTCTAGATGCCGCATACAACACGATTAAAATCTTATCCATCGATCGGCCAATGAACCAAATAACTGTGGTTATTGCCAACGTCACCAATCAGCTTCCCGTGGATGCCTTCAAGATGCCGCATACAACACGATTTAAATCTTATCCACCGATCGGCCAATGAACCAAATAACTGTGGTAAGCTGGTGCAAAAGACCGCGCCACACTACCGAGCGCGGAACTATGGCTCACCTAGTCATCCGAAATAGGGTGACCCAGATAGACAATTCAATCAGTGAATTCCAAACAGTAATCAATATTTCGTCTGCAAACCTCGTGTGACTCCCGAGGTGTCAATGTGAGAAGCAACAGTGTGATGTGATAGCAGATGCCCGGTCCACGTGACCTGACCATAGTCTGAATTCTGTACGTTCGTTTATTCGTTACCAGGGTGACTCCTGCTGTGGTTACTAAGGGCACTCGGAACAAACTCTCTTCTTGTCTGGCCGTTAGTTATCGGAATGATGCAAAAGCGAAAAGCTTCACTTATGGGCCACAGAAAATTCTCAAATTTTGTCACACTACCGAGAATCAATAAGTAACTTAGAAGAAGAGTGAAATTTCCATCCAAGACGTCATCAGTCGAGAAGCCAATCAATCGACACATGAACAAGTAGGGTGAATTTTATGACTGCAGAATGGATAGCAATACAGTCCGTCCAATTGCAAGTAACTGGTCAGTCGCTGGTGGACGAACGGTCAAGTGTTTCGACTACTTTCAGCGTGAGCGGGTTCCAGACTGTCTACCGGAGTTTCGTGAGCTGCGCCGTACGGTTGATGATTCCCGATACAGATGGAACGGCTGTGCATTGCTTACCGGAACGGATTGGCTTTACTTAGAGGACGTAGTATCCAATAAAAGTTCTGACATGGTCGGTTTAGTTCACCGAGGTAGATTCATCGGGAAATCTTCCTGTCCGGTCAGCCAATAGAGACTCTGATTACTTGCGTCTTCAGCTGGTCACAGGCGAGTCTACTATCCTATTAGGTTTTATACACACAAAACTCGGTTAGTCCCAAAAGTTTATATATGCATATATGCAGTTTTTTGGTAGATGTTTTCATTAGAAGTCAGTTTTGGTGAAAATCAATGTTTGGGGTCTTTTCCAGGGCTCGGACTTTGAGCCCTCGCTGTCCACTGCATGAAAGTTCTCATCCGACTTGTCCTGTATGCTCTCCAACCTTTTAGGTGGCGTTATTCGACGATACGTCGAAAGTTACGGTGAAGCGGATGAACTGTACATTGCTGTAATAATCCGGGTGGATATACAACGCAAAGCACTCTACTACATGTTCAACATTATCGTCCCCTGTATGATTATGTCCGTGATGTCCCTACTCGTGTTCACTCTGCCTCCGGACGCGAACGAGAAAATTGTTCTCGGTAAGTTGCATCCTAGCCAGTTTGTGCTCTCGACGTACCATCTCAAAGATCCAAACTCAACCAGGTAAAAAACGGTAACAACAAAATATATCGGTGTCCGATAGGGATTCTACGAACTCCATCGATCCGTTTTGCTCACCAAGGGTGTCTGACCACTTCTCAGGCAATGGTGGCTCGGTGGTTGGAGTGCGAATTTACTGACTGGAAGTTCCGAGGCTTGAATCCAAGCCCTGCATCTAGACTTCCCCTGTCTAGGCTTGAGCAACCTGGCAGTATCCTGGCCCTCGTGCTTCCTTCTGGTGGTGTAGCGATCCAGTCACCCACATACTTGACTGTTCAACTCAGCCGTTCACTGGATCGCGAGGCTTGTCTTTTTTCTCATACGCACAAACACGTCGCACTAAGCTGACTCATCGGACATCGATTGTGTGCACGGCCTAGTCAGCGTAGCGACCAATCATGTGACGACGCGCCCACGTTTACGCACTGGGACCTACATAAAGGCAAACCGAACCCAGTCAAGACACACAGTCTCGCGCGCGCGCAGGGAGCAGGACGTCAACCTCTCCACAAGTCCACGGACAACCATGGAGTACGTGTAGCAGTCTAACTGCGGAGAAAAACACGTTCCCGCCGTCCGGACTTCCACCAAGGGACTCTCGCATCCGATAAGTTCCCTTTTTGACTTGCTCCCATTTCACATTGCATTTATTTTATACGTGTCGCAGAAATACTAAAAGCTTTTATTAGTGCACATTCACCTTCTGATATGAATTATGGCTATCATCACCTGTGCGCTAATAGTGGCATGGCAGTTAGGCACTGAAAGGGTGAACGATAAAGTCTGCTCTACACCACTGTACATAGCTAGCTGCACCTGAGCACATTTTCTAGAGACAATTCTGGACAAATCACTATCGGTTTTACTTTTTTTGGCTCATCAGGTAAGTCTTGTCCACGAGTTTCGATCACTCTTATTCTTGCGTTCATTTGCGGATTCATTGCAGAAGTTAACGGAACGACCAACAGGTTCCCCACAGAGGCTACCCATGCTTTAGTTAGGACAACACTCATTGTATAAGAGCATTTGTCTTGGCAAGTAAACATCTCGGTTGATGGATACCACAAGCCGGAGGTTCCGTTGCACCTGAAGTGAGTCTTTCGCTAACAAGAAAAATCGCAAAGCAGTGCTCATTATCACATACATAGATAAAAAATTGATGGCCCGTCGGAAGAAGAAATAAGGGACCTAACGGTCGCTAGCCAGCCGTCTTCAAAGAAGGTGGAAAATCCCTGGTGACCAATCTGACAAAGCTTATCGATGCTATATGGAACGAAGAGAAGGCGCCTGCAGAATGGGGCATGTCGACAGTTATTTCTATCTTCAAGAAGGGTACGTGGACGCTGTGTGAAAACCACTGTGGCATCGAAGGTGCTCTGTGGCCTTATTTTTCAAAGTTTGACTGAACACAGGGAGAGACAGATCCGTGAAAACCAAGCTGGGTCTCGTCCTGCAAGAGGATGCGTCGATCATATCTTCACCCTCGGACAGATTCTGGAACAGCGACACTGCTTCCAGCAACCAACAGTGGTTGTGTTTCTTGATATGAAAGTTGCCGTTGACTCTGTGGACTGTCAGGCACTGTTGCAGTGTCTGTGGAGCAAAAGTGTCTCCCGTAAATTCATGACCCTCATAATGGCGCTGTACGGCAACTCCCACGACCGTGTGAAGGTCTAGTTGTGTTTCTTTGAAAGTTGCCGTTGACTCTGTGGACTGCCAGGCACTATTGCAGTGTCTGTGGAGCAAAAGTGTCTCCCGTAAATTCATGCATGTGAACGCCAACTCCCGCAGCCGTGTAAACGTCTACGGGAAGCTCTCGCCTGAGTTCACCACATCAAGTGGTGTCCGACAGGGCTGTCCTCTTTCACCTTTCCTCTCCAATTTCGTCATTGATGCGATCATGGAAGACGCACTACCAGCCTCTGAGGCATGTGGGGTCGAAGTGCTCCCTGGGCCTCCGCTCACAGACATCGAGTACACAGACGACATAGCTCTTCT